TTTGTTTGTTTTTCAAGACAGGGTTTCTCTGTGTAAGTCTTGGCTGTTCTGGAACTCACTTTGTAGACCAGGCTGTCCTCGAACTCACAGAGATCCGCCTGCCTCTGCCTCCCTCCTGAGTGCTGGGATTAAGAGCGTGTGCCATCACTGCCCAGCTAATACTAGGTAATCTTCAGAGTGCATCTTGTTTAGAGCCTCCTTCTTCATAGGTAAGGAAGTGGACTTAGAACTGGACTTTGGGCACGTTGCCTCCCTATCAGTTCCCTTATTTGCAAACTCACTAAAACATATTTGCAGCCCCGAATCAATAATTGCAGTGCTTTCCTGCTCATTTGAGGACCGTGCAGAGCAGTGAAAACAGACTCCCTGTCTCCACATCAGCTGAGGTCAAGTAAGACCACCCAACCCTTGTTTCTACTTTTCAGTGTGAGCAGAATCCTTTCAATGCTCTGTGTAGTAGTACATTTTCTTCATGTTTGTATTTGCTGTTGACGATTTCTCTGTAATGAATGGCCCCTGAGTGTTATGCTGAGTAGTTTTCCTAGACACAGGAAGGTTAGAAAGTGTCTTAGAGAAAACCTAGGTTAAATAATTCCATTCAGCATGACGTGCTGTTGGCCTTGAGTTCAATATCCGTGAATAAAGGTATGTATTAAATGAAGCATCTTTAAAGAGAAATAAACAAAGCAAAGGGGTTATTTTTGGCTTGAGAAATTTTTGTTTCCATTTTTTTTTTAAACAAGATCTTACTCTGTAGCCCTGGCTGGCCTTGAACTCACAGAGATCACCTGCCTCTGCCTCCCCAGTGCTGGGATTAGAGATATGTCACCACACCTGGCAAAAACAAGGTTGTGTATTGATTGTTGTGACAAAAATCTGACCAGTGGCTCACAGGGAGCTAGCCTTATGTTTTCTTCAGAGGACTAGCTGAGGATGCACACGGATTCTGTGTCCATGGTGACGTGTAGAGCGGAACTGTCACAACAGGGATAGTGAAGCAAAGAACACAGAGCCGGCCGTCAGTGTTAGAACAGATGTGCAGAGTAAGAGCAGGGTCCAGTAGAGGTCTCTTCATGTTTTCTCTGGCTAGTGAAGCAAAAATCAATCTTACAGGAATCCAATATATAGTCCACAATTGTGTCTTATGTCATTCCCTCACCAGGAATAATCTCCTTTCCCTTTTCTTCTCTCCAGTTAATACGTATATACAAAGGGATAGCTTTTCAAAAGTGAGACAATTTCAAATGTGTAATAATAGGTATTGGAGATTTTACTATTGTTGTTGTTGTTCACTAATCAGTGAAAATGAGGTTTGCCCCAAACATCTTACACAATACTTATTTCAAGACCAGGTGTGTACGTACACTTGCACTGAGGACTAGTCTGCGTGCTAAGCATGTGCTAAGCATGTGCTTTACCGGAGCTTAGGTTTGTGTTCCTCACAGAGTGAGTTATTACTTAAGGGCATTGGTTCAGCTGCTGAGAGCAAAGCTAGTAGACAGGCTTAAAGGAGAAAGGAACTTCTCTTTTCTAGTAAAGTACGAGCTAGGAGGTGACAGCGAACTTTGCTCCTCAGAGCCCTGAATGGTGCTTGCCATCACCTCCAGTACTATACTAATTTGAACTGGTGAAGATTCTTTATTACCATCAAGTTAAATTCCAGGTTGAGACGAGTTGAAAGAGAAATGAAGAACACCAAGTTTCATTTTAAGAACATGACCTTGAAGTTATAATTTGTTGGTCAGAATCTGGTCACACTTGATACCATGTTTCAGGGGAGTCTCAGAAAGTGTTCTGTGTGGACAGCCCGGCACACAGAGACTCAATCATACCTAAAAATGAGCAGCTGAGCACAATTACACAGCAGTAAGGAACACTTGAAGTGACAGTCTTTGAGTTACAAGCCCTAACTAGAAATTAAACTTACTTAATGCTACAAAAATGAAAAAATGTAAACTGTCTGAATGAGAATGGCCAAATCTTTGTAGGATTTGGATATGGGTAATGTGTTTTCTTTGATTTGGTTGTAGTTGTCTACAGAGTGGCAGCGTGACAGTTCCTTCTGGGAAGATCACTGAGAAGCCACAATCATCCTGAATAGGAGCAGGAGGTGATAAGGTCTCCAACAGCAAAGTAGGAGTTGCAAAGGTTATGTGTTCAAATGTTACCTTGCTGAGGTCTCAAGCAGAGACAGACAGCCAACACCAAATGCTAGCGTTGTGAACACACTCTCCTGTGTTCCTGAAGCTGTTGCTCCTCTGGCATCAGCCATGATGGCTGGAGAACCCCTACACATTCTCATGTAGCTAGGCTAGCCTTGAACTCACTTTGTAGCCTGAAAATGACCTCAGACTACTGATCCTGCTGCTTCCGACTCCTAAGTGCTGGAGTTACCGAGTGTACTACCACAGAGGGCTGTTACGGAAGCTTGTGTTTGCTACAATCCAACCAGAAGTGATACTGAGGCACTAGAACTAAGTACTTCAAAGGAGAGAAATTTTCCTCATCTGGAATCTTAATACTGGATGTCTTGGACTGAGAAAGGACAGAAAAAATTCCCATAAGTAATTGTTAACGTATCCTCAACATATCCACAATCAGCTACCTCTGCAAAAACAAAGCAAGATTTAAAAAACGGCGCAAAACTGATGAAGGATGCACAGCACCCGAGGGAGGGACTGCGGTACTACTCAAGAATACTGTTTTGTTTATAGTCTTTAAACAGCTTCATGTTTTCAAGAGATGTTGTTTTCTAATAGTAACAATTTATAGTAGAAAAAAGGAGCCAGCTCCTAAGCAACGAGAAAATTGTGTTCTTTTCATTTTGAAGACTCAATAAAATTATTATGATGGTAATTACAGGTTAAGGTAGGTGTGATTTCTAAATGTAACACTATATTTAAGTGCCATTCATATATAGAAAGTGTGAGCATTTGAGTGATATACCAAAGCCTCCTTTATAGAATTGTCGAAATAACATCATTAAGGAGTGAATACCAAGTTTTATTTATCTGTTTTGTTTTTTGAGACAGGATCTCACTAAGTAGCCCTGGCAGCCTAGAAGAACTCTGTATAGACTGCTGGCCTCAAACTCACAGAGCTAGCTCTTCCTGTGTCTGCCTCCCAAGTACTGGAATTAAAGGCATGGGCCACCACACCCAGCCTCCTGTCAACTTCCAATAAAGTACTAAGCGGAAAAAGAACAGTTTTAACACTAGTTCTTTATCACACGTTTTCAGGTATTTTCACCTAGTCTAGGACTTACCATTTTTATTCTCTTAATCATGTCCTGTTTGTTTGTTGTTTTTGGTTTTTTTGAGATAGGGTTTCTCTGTGTAGCATCCCTGGCTGTCCTGGAACTCACTTTGTAGACCAGTCTGGCCTTGAACACACAGAGATCCTCTTGCCTCTGCCTCTGCTTTAAAGAGTGCAGAGTCCTTTCCCATCAGTAGCTTACTTAATCCTCAGGGAAGCCTTCGAGGTACGTGTTCCTTCTCTTTCCTCAGGTAACAAAACGAAAGACTGACCATCGTCACTCATACACTGTGACATGGTTAGCAGAAGAACAGTGGCTTCTCTCTCACTGTCCTTCCTGGTTTTTAAATACTCCATGGACTTTTCAGATGAGTAAAGTGTGGCCAATTTACTTCTCTAACTAGAACTTAGAATTGTGTAATTTATATACTGGTTGATAGAAAATTCAGACAAGACTTGGTTAAGAGAATAAAATGGCAAGCTCTAGACTATAGACTAGGTGAAAAAGTGATAAAGAACTACTGTTAAAACTATTCTTTTTAACTTAGTTCTTTATTAGAAGTTGGCAGAAGGCCGGGCATGGTGGCCCATGCCTTTAATTTCAGTACTTGGGAGGCAGAGACAAGAAGAGCTATCTCAGAGGTTGAGGCCAGCAGTCTACACAGAGAGTGGTTTTCCACAGATTTTATCCTCTGACTTACACACATACACACACACACACACACACACACACACCACACACACACTCTCACATTCTTATACACCTGGACATCATGTGCACCTACACACATGCACATACACAAAATAAATATTGTTGTACATACACACATTTGCTTCTGTGGGCTCATTTACCTGTGCTTCTATGGCTTGTTTTTATTGTATGATGCAGTTAATTCTTTTGAATAGCTATAGCTGGATCCACCAAATAATATGCCACAATGTATTTGACTTTTTTCATTTGATAGACATTTGTTCAAAGTTTTTCTGTTGTGTCTAGTGCTCTGGTGTTTATTTTTAAGTTCAGTTTGAGTTTTAATTCCCACAAATTATTTTAAAATAGAAATATTCTCTCTTTAAAGATTGTGAGACACTTAGAACCTTAAAATTGGGGGCTGGAGAGATGGCTTGGGAGTTAAGGGCACTTAACTCTTCCAGAGACAAAGTTTGATTCCCAGCACTCATAAGACGGCCTGCAGCTGTCCGTAACTCCAGTTCCAGGAGGTCTGAACCCTGCAGGTCTCTGTAGGTACCAGGTGGGTGGGTGGTGCACAGACACACGTGCAGGCAAATACTCAGACACATCAAATAGAAATAATTTGAAACCATTTAAACTTTTTACCCACACTTTGAGTTTCTTAGCCCAGTACATAGTTGCACTGTGGAGGTAGCACAATGACATGTTAATAACCTGTACCATAGCCTGCTGGTTTTGACCCCTCTCAGTTGAAATAATGCTGATAAGCACAGTTACAGAGCCCCGATCCTACCAATGACTTCTCCTAATTCCTCAACTGCTTTGACTTACTTATTTACCTTCTTACTTGCCCCTTCCCACGTTTCAAGTCTCTGCGGTTGGGGGGGACATCTATAATTCAATAATACTGTCTAAATAAATAGATTTGTGAAAGACCACTTCCTCAATGTCCCATTTGCTGATTTTCTCCAGAATTAACTGGTATAAATTTGGGAGTACAAAACTTGGTTTCTTTTTTTCCTTGTAATATTGTTTTATTTTTCACTGATAGATTCAGAAGCTCTGTGACCGAGTAGCTTCGTCTACTTTACTGGACGACCGAAGAAATGCTGTGCGTGCTCTTAAGTCTTTATCTAAGGTTTGTAACTCTAAGTTACTGCTTCTTTAAGTTTCTTTATTTCCTGTGTGGACATTTTGTCTGCAGGTGTGTCTGCAGCACTTGCATGCGTAGTGCTGGCAGAGGCCAGAAGAGGGCAGTGGTGTTACAGAAAGTTGTGAGCTGCTGTGTGGGTGCTGGGATTCAAACCCAGGTACTCTGGAAGAGTACCCAGTGCCCTTAACCACTGCGCCATCTCTCCAGCTCCAAATTACTGTTTGTTTGTTTGTATGTTTGTTTGTTTGTTTGTTTCCAGTTGGGCATTAATAATAATTAATAGTAACACTTTGCTGGTTTTTGTGTAGAAATACCGCTTGGAAGTGGGAATCCAAGCTATGGAGCATCTTATCCATGTTTTACAAACGGATCGGTAAGTTCCACGTATTGACTCTCCTTCTCGTTTGTTTATTTTGAACTCTTAATTTGTTGTAGAGTTACCGTCATCACTCCGGAGGATAGTAACGTTACCTCGTCTACATTTTGCACTCTTCGTTGTCATTTCAGTGCGCATGTGCTGGATACTGGGTACAAGCCACTGTGCTAAGCATTAGTTGAGACATAAACGACATGTAAGAACAACCAGAGATGGTGGTGCACGTATGTAAGCAAAGCACTTGAGAGGAGCAGGCAGGAGGGTCAGGATTTAAGGTCATCTTCAGCTTCCAGCAAGTTCTGGGCCAGTCTAGGCTACATGTGATCCTGTCTTGGGGGGGAAGGTGATGATGTAACTTAGCTATAATGGCTTTAAGATTTTGATTTGTATTGGGTAAGTGGATGTACTGATACGCATTTGCAAAAAATATATGTTACAGTATGTAGGTTAAATAGACTTTTTCCCCTTAGGACAGTAAATGCACAAGTAAGAGTCTGGGGTTAAATCTGGGGTGTCTTTAGAGAGCGATAGGTCAGCCTGTTTCTTTTTAGGACATTTTATCTGTATTTTCTGTTTTAATTACCTGGGAGTAGATAGTTTTTATATCTTGCCTCTGATAAAATATGTCTGTAGGCTTTAGTTGCTTGTCACATTTCTTTTCTCTCTCTCTCTCTCTCTTTTTTTTAATTTTTCGAGACAGGGTTTCTCTGTGTAGTTTTGGTGCCTGTCCTGGAACTCGCACTATAGACCAGGCTGGTCTCGAACTCACAGAGATCCACCTGGCTCTGCCTCCCCAGTGCTGGGATTTAAGGCGTGTGCCACCACCGCCCGGCAGTTGTCACACTTCAACTCCACTGAGATTCCACATAGGACCTGAAATTCAGAGTTGGGGCTAGGGAGACAAGTGTTTGCTATACAAGTGTAAGCGCCAGAGTTCAGGTTCCCCAACCCCCGGATTAAAGCTTGGCATGGCGGTTTGCTGCCAGGAGGAGACAGGTGAAGATCCCAGGGGCTCGGTTCATCCCTGGTCCTCCTGCTCCTGACTTGTCTGCCCACTTCAGCTATCTTTTCTTCTGAATTTACCCCCATCAATAGTACCCTTCCATTGAGTCAAAAACTAGAATTCCCTGCTGACTTCATCCCTCTAAGCCAAAGAAAAGCAATAATCATGTTTTCAACACTCAGTATATCCATCCCTTAAATCAATTTTCTGGCTTTTTGCTGTGTTACAGAATATGAGAAGGTACTTTAAAATTTAGTAACCAAAGAAGCAATTTATTCCTTCAGAGTTTCTGTGCTTGGGGATTGAGGGGTGGCTTAGCTAAGCAGGCCCAAGGCCCCTTAAGCTGTAGTAGACATATCGGCCAAGAGTGCAGTTAGCTAAAGCTTGACTGCTGGAGGGTCAGTCACATGGCAGCTGGTAAGAGGCCTCAGCGCCCCTCCATGTTGCTTTCTTAAGCCTGCTTGAGCACACTCATGATAGATGGCAGTTCTGGAATCACTCTGGAGCCTGTGGTCCAAGGGAGCAAAGAGAAAGCCAGTGTACTCCTACTATTTACTCTCAGAATCACATATACTGTAGTCGTCAGAAGTGAGTACATAAATTGTCTCCATGTAAGGGGTGGCTCATTAGGCTCCACCCTGAGAGCTGCATCAGAGAGCTGTAGGCGTATCTAAAACTACTACTACCTTGAAACTGTATTTTTTGCCTCTGATCTCTTTGTAACTTGTGTGTTCATTGTGTTTCACCAGTTCAGTGTAGTGTGAAATCCAAAATCAAATTTCTTATTTACTTATTGGTTATTTTGAGACAGGGTTTCTCTGTGTAGCCCTGGCTATCCTGGAACTTGCTCTGTAGACCAGGCTGGCCTCTAACTCGGAGATCTGCCTGCCTGTACCTCCAGAGTGTACCATCCATCATCACCTAGCTATTTTGTATTTTTCCAAGTACAAATATTAGACCTTTTTAGGAAATTCTATTCCAGGCATTTTATTTATTCTTGTCATTGTAATTATTGAAATGATTAGCCCTAGGATCCACTTTTCTCTACTCTCAACACCGAGGTCACAGGCATTTACAGCTGTATAGCTGTTTTACATGGGTGCTGGGGATTCCAATTCAAGTCCTCATGCTTACATAGGAAATGCACTTAGCCACTGAGCATCTCCCCAGCACCAGCTTTCTTGGGGATTAATCAGGGCCTTACACATGCTGCACAGATGGCCTACCACTGAGTTGAAGACCCAGCCCTGAGTTGTGAGCTTCTTGGGGGTGTCCTTGGTCATGTTAAAGAAGGTCTCTTATAGTTCAGGTTTCTCAGTCATCTCTTGTAAGGTGTGTTACAAAATTTCTCAGAAGCAGAGCTGTGACTAGTTTGTGTAAAAGCCCATTGCTCAGTATCCCTGTCCTCTGAGAGAACCTTCTGGGCTCTCATCCTTGTTTTCATTGTCCCTCTTCATGTGTGCTGACTCTTTGAGACCTCTGTGACATTCTTGTTTCCGTAAGAGGGAAAAAGCGGACAGATTTGAAATTTATCTGCAAGTATAAAATCTTGTGTTTCTTGATTATATAAATTGTACTTGAAAAGATGAAGTATAGAGAGGTTAGACTGCCTACAGATAATGCTGTTTTACATATATACGAATGTACATGTGTATAAAATTAACTGGCTCTTCTCCTTGCTAGTTTAAAAGTTTGGTTTACCTTATAAATATATTATGTTTCAATAAACATGCACACATACATATAAATATACATTCATATGTTTTGCTAAATGGAACTTCTGTCTAGTTTTTTGAAAGTTTTTTTGTTTTTTTAATGGATATGAGTATTTGCCTGTACGTATGTCTGTGCACCGTGGGCATGCTTGGTGCCCATGGAGGTAAGAAGAAGACATCAGATCCCCTGGGACTGGAATTATGGACAGTTGAGTGCTACCATCTGGGTGCTGGGAATTAACTGGAGTCCTCTGGAAAAACAGCCAGTAATCTTAACTTCTGTGTAGCTGGCTGTCCTGGAATTCACTCTGTAGACCAAGCTGGCCTCAAACTGCCTCTGCTTCCCAAGTGCTGAGGTTTAAGGTGTGGGCCACTACTGCCCGGCAGTTTTTACAATTATAAATAAATCTTTGTGTAGTCTCTTATTTATTACTATTACTTGTTTTTTGGTTTTTTTTTTGGTTTTTCGAGACAGGGTTTCTCTGTGTAGCTTTGCGCCTCTCCTGGAACTCACTTGGTAGCCCAGGCTGGCCTCGAACTCACAGAGATCCGCCTGGCTCTGCCTCCCGAGTGCTGGGATTAAAGGCGTGCGCCACCACCGCCCGGCTTATTACTTGTTTTTGTTGATGTCTTCAGAGAGGTCTCACTGTGTAGCCCAGCCTGGTCTGTAGCTTGCAGCCATCCCCCTTCCTCTGCTTCCTGAGCACTGAGATTCCAGGCGTGAGCCACTGTGCCTGGCTTTACATTTTCCTTTTCCTAATACTTTCTTAGATTAGATTTGTAGATAAGAAGTGAATATTTTATTGAGCTTATGAAAGAACTGCCTAAAAATGGCCACAACAGTTTAAATCCAGCCAGCAGTCTGTAAGTATAATAATTTCTTTTTTCCAGTTCGGATTCTGAAATAATAGCTTATGCTTTGGACACACTCTATAATATAATATCTAATGATGAAGAGGAAGAAGTAGGTAAGTTATCCAGTTATTTTACTGTTTCTATATATAAATTAACTAGGTTATGCCAATTTTGCTTTAAAGTTGAGTATATATATTTTATAGACTTGTTCATTGTTCATAGGTGTTTCTTTTTAAGTTACTCTTGGAATCAACACAGTAAAGATCTACCCTTGGTCCTGAATAGTGTCACTAGGGTGAAGGCTCAGTGTGTGATCTGAGCCGTTATGACAAGGTGGAGTGACATTTCTGTCCTTAAGTCAGGGACTCTCTATGCAGCCTGGACTAAGCCAAGCTCAGTCTCCTCCCCCAGCTTCCAGAGCATTAGGCTTACAGGCACCACTGCCTCTCACCTACATTCTTCCTTCTTTTAAATGGTTTCTTTTCAGTGACCATACAAGGAATTAGATATTGTGACATTGCAAATAAACTGTTTTATCAGCTTCTCCTTCACTTTACTCACCTCTCCCAGATCTGCTCTCTTTCTTTCTTTCTTTGGTTTGTTGTTGTTGTTGTTCTAGACAGGGTCTCACTGTGTAGCTCTGGCTGTCCTAGAATTCACTATGTAGACCAGGCTGACCTCAAGATTCTCCTGCCTCTACCTCCCAAGTGCTGATGTTACAGTCGTGGGCCACCACCCTGCAGGTTCTTTTTTCCTAAGCTTTTTCTCTCTTTGGGCTATAATTAGGCGGTATACATATTAGCCACACTGAGTTCAATAATCTCCTTTGGTTGTCAGTTGATCTCTGTATATATTATACCCTTGTGCCTGTTGGGGGTTAGAAGCCAAGTTAAGGGATGTCTCTCCTAATACCTAAACCTTTCTTTTCCTAAGACTTTGTTAATTTATTTTATTTTTATTTTTATTTTTTTATCTTTATTTTTTTATTTTTATTTTTTTTATTTTTTTTAAAGATTTATTTATTATGTATACAATGTTCTATCTGCACATATGCTTATAGGGCAGACGAGGGCACCAGATCTCATTATAGATGGTTGTGAGCCACCATGTGGTTGCTGGGAATTGAACTCAGGACCTCTGGAAGAACAGTTAGTGCTCTTAACTGCTGAGCCATCTCTCCAGCCCTAATCTTTATTTTTTTATTTTTTTTTTAAGATTTATTAATTATATATACAGTGCTCTGTCTGCATGTATCCCTGCAGGCCAGAAGAGGGCACCAGATCTCATGATAGATGGTTGTGAGCCACCATGTGGTTGCTGGGAATTGAACTCAGGACCTTTAGGAAGAGCACCCAGTGCTCTTAACCTCTGAGCCATCTCTCCAGCCCAATTTTGTTAATTTATAAAGAGCAACAATTTATTAAATGTAGGGAGTTGTTTGTTTGTTTATTTATTTATTTATTTATTTATTTATTTATTTTTGTGTGTGTTGTCTATTTGATACGAAAAAATTCGGATCTGTTTGAAATCCACTCAATTTCATTGGTATGCCCTCCTTTTCCTTTTTATTTCAATATACTTGGATACTTAAAGTAAGATAGCTTGTCATTTACTTTGTTACTTCATGAAAGGCTTGGTTGAATGTCTGTACCTTTATTGTATAAATTGTAAAAAGATATTCAGTAAGTAACATTTCATAGTGCTGCTAAGGACATTCCACATAGCCAGCTGCTGATTACTGTAAGACCTTAGTGGGTTTCTATTATTATGGAGGAAAGAACAGACATACTCATGTGTTTTATAATTCTAATTCATACCAATATATGACAAAACAGAAATTGTAAATAAATATTGACCTTGCACATAAACAGAAAAACATGTGCATGTTAACTCCACAGAGTACTGGTAGTATGAGTGTTTGGGATTATGTGTTGAATAGTCATGTTCCCATAGAATGAAAGACACTTTTTTTTAAGATTTTATTTCTCTGTGATACCTTGTTAGAGGTTTATTCATTTCTAAGGGATAAAAATATTTAGTAAACAGTTTATGTATCTATGGAAAAAGAAGTTGAACATATAGCCACTTAAATATATACACAAGACTCTTCTTGGAAGGAAAAGATATCTGCATCTCCTAGTTGTTTTTCAGATGAGAAAATTAAATGCAGCACACCTTTTTTTGTTGTTGTTTGGAGCAAGAGTCTCCCTATGTAGTCCGAGCTGTCCTGGAACTCACTTTGTAGACCAAACTGACTCCAAACTCACAGAGATCCTCCTGCCTCTGACTCCCAAGTGCTGGGATTAAAGGCATGCCAAACCATGCCCAGCCAAGAAACACACTAAAAAACTGGCTTAACACCCCTTTATTTCTTAGATATTGGGGGGAGGGGTTTTTTTGTGTGTATATTTGGGGTTTGTAAGTTTTACTTCCTTGCACTTTTTGAGACAGTTTCACTGTGTGGTTTAGGCGTGAACCTTCCACACAGCCCAAGCTGGCCTTGCACACCCAGTCTTGTGCTCCAGCTTGCTGGTGCCGGGGCTGTAGGCAGGGCCACGTTCCAAAGCCTTTCTGATAAAATAGGAATACAACTTTTTTTTTTGGTTTTGCAAGACAGGGTTTCTCTGTAGTTTTGATGCCTGTCCTGGAACTCACCTTTGTAGACCAGGCTAGCCTCGAACTCACAGAGATCTGCCTTCCGAGTGCTGAGATTAAAGGCGTGTGCCACCACCACCCAGCAGAAATGCAACTTTTGAGTAAACAGTATCTGTGTAATTTTTCTAGGGACTTTTCCTTCAGTTACGTGAGTAAATTTTTAAAAACTAGATACTGTTAAGAAATGTGTTCTTGAGCTGTGTTATAGTGCCTTCTCTTTGATACTTCATTGTGAGGTAATTCTCCAATGACCCAAAAACTCTAGAGTTCTTTGTCTTGGGAATATTTTATAACCCTTTACTGATAAATCTGTCTCATAGTCCAAAAAATACAGTTTATTCCATGTGTCATGGATGGTCCTCAGCTATTTGACTTATATGATGGAATCTCATTTTCTAAGATCTACGCTGCTTACTTGACCTGCCCCTGTGTTTATACAGATAGATATGATTAACTTTCTTTATTGCCTGCTTTTTATTTATTTATTTTTGTCTACCTTTTCAGATGATGTTGACGATAAAGGTTTGCATTTTCATATGCATGATGCTTTAGACATAAGACCTGGTAATATAAAAGGACACTGTCAATTGCTGTTTCTTCTGGCTTCTGAAACACTGGCATTGGTTTCAGTGTGTCAGAACCTGTTATTAAAGGGGAATATTTAATATCTGTCCACACCATGAAACAATTCTAGTGGATCTTTTAATAAATCAAAAATTTCCCCAGATAGTTCCATTTATTCAAATTTGTTTGGTATATACTTCCTGGAAAACAAATTATTTATAAGTAATATTTGAATATGTCTACACACGTATTCATACATATCTGCTTAGACTGAGTAAGCTAGAAAGCACTCAGTTCAGAGAATACACATCTGTTGATTTTGTCCCTTTAAAGTGCCACATGCACAACTGTGCTCCACTTACTGACCTTCTACATACAGTGCTTTCTAGAATTCACTGACACTTACTCTCTTGTGATCTGCTTGACTTCCAGTAACTTTTAACAGTTTTTTCTCATAAATAAAATAATCAAGTTTTCTTTTTATTTCATTTAACTAATATTCCTAAATACTTTTTAGAATGAATGAAATATTATCTAAAGTAGATTTAAAATAACAGTTGCCAGTACCTAACAGAAAACTAACTTACTAAAATACTGTTTCTACCTTTTGTGGCATTTGAGTCTGTTGCTTGAAATCAGAAAATCCCATAGCACGGCTTCGACTCTTGTCAGGCTGTTTGTGTGCAATGTTACGGATCAGGAGCTGTTGCTTCTATGACTGTTTCTCATGTTTTGTGGAGCTTTAAAGAGTGCAGAGTCCTTTCCCATCAGTAGCTTACTTAATCCTCAGAGAAACCTTTGAGGTACGTGTTCCTTCTCTTTCCTCAGATAACAAAACGAAAGACTGACCATCGTCACTCATACACTGTGACATGGTTAGCAGAAGAACAGTGGCTTCTCTCTCACTGTCCTTCCTGGTTTTTAAATACTCCATGGATTTTTCAGATGAGTAAAGTGTGGCCAGTTTACTTTTCTAACTAGAACTTAGAATTGTGTAATTTATATAACTGGTTAATAGAAAATTCAGATAAGCATTTAAAAATGGGCATACCTACTTAATTGTCGGGCCACAGTTGTCAAAGATTACTTTGTTAGTTAGGACTACTTTAGTTAGAACATCTCCTTTTCTTTTCTTTTTCAGAGGGCGGAGGGGAGGGGCACTTGGATTTTTGAGATAGGGTCTTGTAATGTGGTCCCTGCTGGCCTGGAACTCATTTTGTAGGTTAGCCTGGCTTAGGACTTGCAGTGATCCTCCTGTCTCTGCCTTCTGAATGCTGAGATTACAGACAGGCATGTGCCACCATGCTCTGCTTTAGATCACCTCCATCTGTACAGCAGTTTTCTTCTCTAGAGTATAGATTGTGAACTTGGTATGGAGTTGCATTGAAAGGTCCCATGGTGTTTTTTAAACGGTTTATACTTCTGGAAAACATACACCTATAAATACATTTTAAGAACAAACATATCTGTGTGTTTGGTTAAAGCTTATTTTATAAATAGATCTGGAAAGTGGTGGGATATGTGTGTGTGTGTGTGTGTGTGTGTGTGTGTGTGTGTGTGTGTGTGTGTACACACACACACACATATTCATACATATATATATATATATATATATATATATTTTTTTTTTTTTTTTTTCTTTTCTGAGACAGGGTTTCTCTGTGAAGCTTTGCACCTTTCCTGGAATTCACTTTGGAGACCCGGCTGGCCTCGAACTCACAGAGATCCGCCTGCCTCTGCCTGCTGGAGAGATGGCTCAGTCGTTAAAGGCTAGGCTCACAACCAAAACTATTTTTTATATATATACATTATGGGGTATGTGTACACACACACACACACACACACACGGACTTAAGAACTAGTCTTTGATTTTACTCTTCTGTTTTAGGTTTATCTTTGCTTTAACAATGGATCACTTTTTCCCCCACTTACATTAAGGGATCACCTATTTTGACAGGTTAGAGGAAGTGTTGCACATAATATTTAAACTAAGATTAAAGAGATAAACTCAACTGTGTTATAAGTATACCAGTGTGTCAAAATGGTTTGTCTCATGCCTTTGACTGTATGTAGAATAGATCTAATTTTGTTTTGTTTTGTTTTACTGATACAGGGTCTTTCTACATAGCTCTGACTATCTTGGAACTTACTATGTAGATCAGGCTGGCCTTGAACTCATAGAGATCCACCTGCCTCTGCCTCCCAGAGTGTTGGGATTAAGTGTGCACCACCACGACAAGTTAAATAAAGTTTCTTATGGCTGTAGTTGTGATTTATAACTTTTAGATACAATTAATTTAATAGTTTTAACAATTTTACTTTCTATACCACTGAAAGCTTTGTGTACTATTGCTTAGCTAGTTTGAGGGCATTCCATTAAAGTTTGGAAGTGCTGGGGCTGGAGAGATGGCTCAGTGGTTAAGAGCATTGGCTGCTCTTCCAAAGGACCCCGTCCCAGAGGAGCTTATACACCCTCTTCTTGTCTCTGCAGGCACTGATGCATATAGTCCTCCAGCAAACATGCAGGGAAAACACACATGCGCATAAAGTAAAAATAAATAAATCTTGGAGCTGGAGAGATGGCTCAGTGGTTAAGAGCACTGATTGCTCTTCCAGAGGACCTGGGTTCCATTCCCAGCACCCACATGGCAGCTCACACCTGTCTGTAACTCCAGTTTCAGGGAACCTGGTACCCTCACTGACATACATGCAGGCAAAACACCAGTGCATGCAAAAATAAATAAAATATTTAAAATAAAATTTAAAAAAAATAAATCTTGGAAGTACTGCCTTAGGGCTGTGACTTTTTAAGATTGATGGTTGTCCTGGTTGGTTTGTCAAGTTGATACAAACCTAGACATATCTAGGAAGAATGAACTTAACTGAGAAAATGTCTCCATAAGATTGGCCTGTCGGCAAGAATATAGGTGATTGGTATGATTCTTGGTTGGTGATTGATGTGGGAGGGCCCAGCCATTGTCAGTGGTGCCACCTCTGGGCAGGTGGTCCTGGAGTGTTTAAGACAGTGGTAGTATACTCCTTTAATCCCAGCACTCAGGAGGCAGAGGCCTCGTGAGTTCCTGTGAGTTTGAGAACTGGGCAGCAGTGGTGCACACCTTTAATCTCAGCACTCGAGAGGCAGAGCCAGGCGGATCTCTGTGAGTTCGAGGCCAGCCTGGGCTACAGAGTGAGTTCCAGGAAAGGCACCAGAACTACACAGAGTAACCCTGTCTCGAAAAACCAAACATATTTAATTAATTAATTAATTTAAAAGACGGCAGACTGAGCAAGCCATTAAACGGTGTTCCTCCATGGCCTCTGCCTCAGTTCCTGCCCTGAGTCCCTGCCTTGGCTTATGTTCATGATGGACTACAATTTTAAGCTGAAATAAATCCCTTCCTCCCCAAGTTGCTTTTGGTCATAGTGTTTTATCACAGCAGTAGAAACCGTAGTTCAAACAGTGGTTTTAGATCAGATTCTACCACACTAGTTGAATTCAAAATGTATAGCCAAATTGATAATAAGCCACAGTATTTTATTTGCTATAGTTACAGAATAAATCAAGGATATTAGCTATTTCTTGATGGGTTATTCTCTCATGTTTGGTGCCAGCACTGAATTAAACCTTTTATTTGTCCTGCATTCCGAATGTGTACAAGGGTTTAAGAGTTGTCTTGTATAAAAAAGGTCCAAAGTTAGATAAATATTACATGCAGTGTTCCCCTCTGAGGCCCCACAGAATTTCCACGAGGATGATAAACAGTGAGAAACAGCTCAGCTCTTCTGTCAGGACACTTGTCTCTAGACTCTTGCTTCAGCAAATGCATGTTACAATGCCCCGTGTCCTTCCTATAGTTTGAAAAGCTTACCAAGGCTCAAAGTACAAGTTAATTATTTGTAATTACCTACATAGAACTATTTCAACATTTAAAAAAACAACTGAGGGGCTGGAGAGATAGATGCTCAGGGGTTAAGAGCATTTGTTGCTTTTGTAGAGGGCCCAGATTTGGTTCCCAGCACTCATGTGGTGGTTCACAACCATCCATTATGATAGTTTCAAGGCACCAAGCACGTACATGGTGCACTTGCATACACACAGGCAAAACACTCACACATGGAAATTAAGAGATAAATAAGTCTTTTTAAATTAACAAAAAACATTTTCTAGGATGGGTCCATGAAATCAGTATTTTTCCCCTCTTTAACCAGTTTACTTTTTATTTATTTATTTTGAGTTGATGTGTATAGGTGTTTGGTCTGCATGCCTGTCTGTAGACCACGTGCATGCCTGGTGCCTACAAAGGCCAGAAGAGGGCATAGGATCCTCTAGAAGTGGAGGTACAGACAGTTGTGAGTCACCATGTGGGTGCTGGGAATTGAATCCCGGTCCTCTGGGAGAGCAGCCAGTGCTCTTAACTGCTGAGCCACGTCTACAGCCCCAGTATGCAACGTCTACAGCCCCAGTATGCAACTTCAAAGCCTTTCTCTTAGTGGGCACTGAGCTGCTTCTAGTTCAGAACTACTGAAATTGGATTAGATCCATGTTTATCAGCCTTTTTTAATGATTTAGGCTTTTGTATATGTTTATTCTGTTGCTGTAACAAACATCACGACAAAAGCACTTAGGGGAGGAAAACGTTTATTTGGCTTTCACTTCCAGTCACAGTTTGTCACTGAAGGAAGTCTGAAGCAGAAACCGTGGAAGAATACTGCTTACTGGTTCCGGCTTGTGCTTAGCTTTTTAAATAGAGCCCGGAACCACCTGCTCAGGGGACAGTGCCAACCACAGTGGACTGAGCGGCTCTCTATGACACCTTCCCTCAGCCCCGACTCCCATCTTTCATCTCCCCTGCCTTCAAAACCAGTACCATGAAGGAACTCTTACACCTTGCTGTTCTCTTGTCAGCTTGAGATTCAGGCTTGGCCCCCTTGGACCACAGCTTCTGAGTATTGACCTAAGGAAATACTTTCCTGTTGTCTCAGTGAAGCAGAGAGAACTTCACCTCAGGGAAGCTGATCTCCTGTCTGTCACAGCTGACCTTTCAGCCCCAGCAGACCAGCATCCCATTGCCCCGGAAGCACAGTGGTTCTGATCTCTTGATAATCATAGCCGATTCTTCAGCCCCAGCGCATCACTACACACACAGTCCTCTCTGGGGGGATATTTTTATTCTATCTGAATGAATGTTTCGCCTGCATGATTGTACGCCTGATGCTCACAGAGGTGAGAAGAGGACATTGGATCCCCTGGACCTTGGGATCTGGAGTTATGGACAGTTGTGAGCCACCATGTGGGTGCTGGGAACCGAATCCAGGCCCTCTGCACCAGCAACAAGTGCTCCGAACTGCAGAGCACTCTTGGCCCCTGTACATTCTTAGTCCACACTGTCACAAACTGTCTCCCCTCTGAGACCTCACAGACCTGCATTGTCTGCAGTTCTTTCAGCGTTCGGATCTTTCAGGCTCCCACAAGAAGGAACGGCTTGTTAAGAACTGGACGAAATTCCAAACCCCCCCCCCCCCAGTCCTCTAACAAACCAGTCCAAGGCAGGAAAGCACATGCTTGGGTTTATTACGATACCCAACTCCTAGTACTTACTTTTGTTCTAGTTGCATTCAGTTGCTGTGACAAACTCAAGGCCACCACCCTGCCTCAGCCTCACTAGTGCTGGGATTACAGGCATGCACTACCACTCAGGTCTATAAAATTTTAGTCATTTTATACTAAATACTGTAAAGAAATTCTGTGTTAAATTCTGCTTTTATTGCCAAATACTTTTCTAGGTTCTATATGAAAACAGTACTGGATAATCTGAAGATGATTGGTTTAATTTATAATTAAATTACACTGACAAGTAAAAATCAGCAATGAGTACTGTTTTGAGATGTCCTGATTTGGAGATAATTCATGTAAAATAAAATTTGCTCATAGAAGTTGTATAGTCTTAACCAGGCGGTAGTGGCGCACGCCTTTAATTCCAGCACTCAGGAGGCAGAGGCAGGTGGATCTCTGTGAGTTCTAGGCCAGCCTGGGCTACAGAGCGAGTTCCAGGACAGGCACCAGAACTACACAGAGAAACCCTGTCTTGAAAAACCAAAAAAAAAAAAAAAGAAAGAAAAAGAAGAAGTTGTATAGTCTTATAAGTTTAGACAAAAAAAAAAAAATTGAGTAGTGTGTAATGGAATTTGGCCCTGTGGTTAAGTGCTTGCCTGCCATAATCAAAGCCCTGGGTCCAAACCCCAGCACTAAAAAAAAAAAATTGTAGAATCACTGCCACATTGAAGACAGACTATTTCTGTCACCCTAAATGATTCCTCCTAGTTAAAGTCTAACCTGATGTCTTTGAGGAGGAGCTGTGAAGTGAGTTTACAAATAGTTCTCACTCTTAATTGTATAACTGATAGCAGCCATACTGTTGAATTATTTACATTCCAGAAAAATTGCCATTTCTGTTTAACTCTTCGGTGAGAGGATACTTTCACATAGCAGCATGTTGAAGTACTTTGTTTTTTGAATCTTCTTACAGAAGAAAATTCTACAAGACCAAGTGAGGATTTGGGAAGCCAGTTTACAGAAATTTTCATTAAGCAGCCAGAAAATGTCACTCTCCTGTTATCTTTGTTGGAGGTAAATAGAGAACCTTGACCTTCGGTCGTGTTAATAAGCTGCTTGTGTTGCCTCGTGGGTGTTCCTGAGGAAGTAGTATGCAGCACATACTTTAAAAGGAGTGGAGTTTGTTGTATTATGCTTTTTGAATGCATGTGAGAGATCCACACGCATGCTATAGGAAATATGTAATCTGTTAAAATGATATATGCATCTTATTTCTAGTTTTACAAAGTATTATCAGTATTAACATTGTAGTTGATTTAATCAATTAACATTAACTCATTTTTAAAGTTCACTAAAATTCTGTTTTTCACTTGTAGTTTCTCATTGTGCTATTAGTTGAAAATGTTTTCTTTGAAAATAGGAATTGGAGTTGTTAAAGCGTTGAAATTCTTGCGTTGCAGGAGTTTGATTTCCATGTCCGTTGGCCTGGTGTGAGACTGCTGACCTCTCTTTTAAAGCAGCTGGGGCCTCCAGTGCAGCAGATTGTCTTAGTCAGTCCCATGGGTGAGTGACTTCCCCTGTGCAGTCTTGAGGGAAAAGTGACTCAAGTGGTGCCTTAATAAATGGTAATTGTTTAGTCTACCTGTATCTTCTTTCTCATGGTTGTGTGTTCTAGGTGTTTCAAGACTAATGGACTTACTGGCAGATTCCAGAGAAATTATACGTAATGATGTAAGTTCAGTTTGGGGGAGGGAGCATATGATGCTTATTTTTTCTCTTTGCAAATAAAATCTCTGTTTCCCCTTATGAGTTAAGAAAAGTTAGTTTTGGAAAATTGGGGTGATGGCCAATCATTTAGACCTTTTAAACTTACATTGTTTTTGTTTGTTTGGTTTTTGTTTTTGTCTTCTGCCTAGCTAGTATTTAGAGTTATACAAACCATTTTGCTATTCAAACATATTGCATATGTTTAAGCTTTCTTCTATGGTCTTCTGAGATGTTGACATAGAATTTCACCTCAGAAATTGTCTTTCCTCCTACAGAGTAGAGGAACCATTCTGAGACATTAAATGGTGTGAGTTTACAAACGGTTGCACTTGGCTTCCTCATTCTTATTTCGCTGAATGTGTGTCCAGAGGATTTTCATTGATAACCTCTTTAACTCTGGAGTGTGACTATTGTGTCGTATTTTCCACTCTGGTGTGTCCTTTGATATTTTCATATGATTTTGAATTTTGTAACACCTTAATGCAAAGCACAAATAGGACTAAGCCAAACCCCTGGTTTGTGTCCATGTGAAATGTGAGATAAATATATTTTAAACTTAACGTTTAAAATTTTGTTAGCCGGGCAGTGGTGGCGCACGCCTTTAATCCCAGCTACAAAGTGAGTTCCAGGAAAGGCGCAAAGCTACACAGAGAAACCCTGTCTCGAAAAACCAAAAAAAAAAAAAATTTGTTATAGTGAGGCTAGAGATGGCTCAGCAGCTAAGAGCACTTGCTGGGTAGGATTTTGGATAGGATTCAGGTTCAGTTCCTAGCACCAGATGGCAGCTCACATGCATCTGCAACCCCAGTTCCAGGACATTCAACACCTCTGTAGGTACCACTCATGTACATGGTACATATGCATAGAGTCAGACAAGCACTCACATAAAATAAAAATACAAATTTTGTAGTGTGTATGGCAAGGCAGTATTATAGGAAGTAAAATGCTATAATAATGTAACTTACAAGAAATCAATCTTTATTCTTCAGTATTTAATAGTTTTATTTGTTTGTTTGTTTGTCTTGAGACAGAATCTCCATTTGTAGCCCAGGCTGGGCTTAAAATTTGAGCCTGCTTTCTGCATTACAGACATATGTCCCTGCACCTGATTTACATGTTATTTATTTTTTTTAGAACTGTCTTATTAAGTGAATATCCATCTAGTAGGAATAATTTGGGTTGTTTTTCCATAATTAAAATATGACTATAGGGGCTAGAGATATGGCCCCACAATTAAGAGGACCAGGATTTAGTTCTCAGGCCCTACATCAATAGGCTCATCATACCTATACCTCTGGTTCCAGTGAGTTAGATGCTGTCTTCTGGCCTCCACAGGCACTTGTATGATGTGGTGCAAATACAGACAATTAGGCACATACATACATATTCACATAGGTACATTTTTAAATTAAATAAAATATGACTGTGTACCTTAAACTCAAGGTTTCTTCTCAGCCCCCAGTTTAAATAAGAGGCTGCTGAACCATCAAATGAAATTCTCTTTCCCTAAGTCTTGGTTCATGTCATCAGAATTTGTTTTGATTTTTCATATATAAAACTGCTTTTTAACAGATGCCTACCTTGACTCTTTAATTCCTTCTTAGAGCATATATTTTGTATAAAATAAAGTTACTACATTTTCATGCAACTTTATCAGGTACTTTGATCTTGTCTTAGGGTTTCTGTTGCTGTGAAGAGACACCATGACCATATGACCATGGCAACTCTTTCTTTTTTTCTTTTCTTTTTTCTTTTTTTTTTGGTTTTTCGAGACAGGGTTCTCTGTGTAGCTTTGCGCCTTTCCTGGAATTTACTCTGTAGCCCAGGCTGGCCTCGAACTCACAGAGATCCACCTGCCTCTGCCTCCCGAGTGCTGGGGTTAAAGGCGTGCGCCACCACCGCCCGGCAACCATGGCAACTCTTATAAAGGAAAACATTTAATAGGGGCTGGCTTACAGTTCAGAGGTTTATTCCATTATCTTTCTGGTGGCATGTAGACAGACATGGCGTTGGAGAAGAATCTCAGAGTCTATGTCTTAATCCACAGGCAGCAGAAGCAACTGTGTCACTGAGTATGACTTTAGCATAGATGAGACCTCAGAGCCCACCCCACAGTGGCACACTTCCTCCAAGGCCACACCTACTCCAGCAAAGCCACACCTCCTAATAGGACTGCTCCCTATGGGGGCCATTTTCTTTCAAACCACCACAGTCTGTTCTTCCAGTCCCCTCTGTGCCCCCCCCCCTCATGGTTTAAGTCTATTTTCCCCTCACTCTTTGCTTTGGTTTTTATTTGAGACAGATAAGATGATTGTCTGTGTTGGCTTTTGTTAATTTTATGAATGGAGATTAAGTTTTATTTTTTGTTGTAACATCTAACATCTTGATTTTATGTTTTATACCTGTATTTTCTTGGTTTCAATTGACCTATTCAGCATAAGAGGAAAACAATCTATTAATAAATATTAAAATTTAAAACTGGTAAACTCTGTAGATGCTGTTTTCCTACCTTCAGTCTTTAAAATTCAGTGACATCTGGGTGTGGTAGAACATGTGTTTAGCCCCAAGCACTTTGGAGACAAAGGCAGGAGGATCTCTGTGAGTTTGAAGCCAGTCGAATGAGTATAAAGAGTTCCATGGAAGCCACGGCTACATAGTGAGATAATTCTTGGTATTTAAAAAAATAGTGTCACAGGATTGTGCACATAAGTGTTCTGAGACATGGGATTTTTGTGTTTACTTTTAGTTACACAGCTAGTAAGTCTGCCCACTTTATCAGACTCAGGGTTCCTGTGTCTGTGTGTACCGTTTGTCTTCTTCTTTGTGCAGTTAAATTCAGGTTGGCAGCATTAAGTTAGCAGGAGAATTTGACATCGAAATTCTTTTTTTTTTTTTTTTTACTTTTCATGTTAGTGTTGAAATTTGAAAATCAGGGAAAAGTGTGGCGTGAGCCCAGTGAGATGTGGGTATTCTTAAATTTGCAGAAGCTTAGCGGCCCATTGATAACAGCCAGCCACTCATCTGTCATCATGGGACTCAAATAACCTGCTTGCTTGAGGTCCCTATTGCTCACCCTCTTCCTCTGAAGTAGTAGCTGTGCTTTTTCTAACCATGATATGTTTTCTGTCTCTCTCACCATATGGCCACCTAGGGACTCATAGGTACTTGATGTGTAATACTGAAATAAAAAGTGGGTAATAAGGCTGGAGAGATGGCTCATCAATTCAAAATACTGGCTGCTCTTCAGAGGACCTGGGTTCAATTCCCAGCACCCACATGCCAGCTCATAACTGTCTGTCACTCCAGTTCCAAGGGGTCCTGTGCCCTCTTAGGGCACTGGACATGCAAGTGGTGTGTAGGCATACATGCAGGCAAAACACCCATACACAAAAAGAAATGAGTAATAAGCGGCAACGTAATTTGTTTAATGGCGACAAAGTCTATAAACTTACACAGCTTAATAAGCTGAAAAAAAAAGAGCAAAGACTTAAACTTTCCTTGTCAGTTCTATAACTTTGACATTCAGCAGTTAGGTCTTATCCACACTGACTGGAGATTTTGAAATGTATTAACAGGGTCATAAGTTACCATGATACACTATGGAACCTTCCTTATGCCCTTGGCCCAGACAGCTTTGTTGAGCCCAGATCAATACACACATCTAGAGTCCCCATGTGCTCACCTGGAGCCCCACCTCCTCCAGGACAAAGTCTGGATTTCTTTGCCTGAGGGTGTGCTCTTGAAGCCCGTGCCGTGGCTGTGCTTGTGAATGTTGATGTGTGTTCCTGGATAACCACTTCATTGGTGGCAGGACGGCCGTTCTTCCCACCCCAAGTCGGGAAGGATGGGCACAAAGGACTGTGGGAGGAAAAGCCATACCTCAAGTAACCGTCTGTAAACTTGGTGCAGGGCGTTCTATTCATGAGACATGACTTTTCACTTCTTCTGTCGATTTAAAATCAAATTGTGAGAATTTGGGGCCAGGTATTTGCAAGAATTCCTGAACCCTATAAAGTTCTGTTAAAATGTGGTGGTATTTGATTTATTATTATTATTATTATTATTATTATTATTATTTTAAAAGAGTAGGTCTGGGGATAATCACTCTCAGCTTATGGAAACTGCATGGTGATGGATGAATATGAAGTAATTGTGTTTTTATCATATACAGTAAAATTAGCCTTAGATGTGAACTCTTACCAAGGCCCCGTCCCTCTATGATCTGTGACCTTCAGGAAAGCAAATTGTTGAACTGTCTCTGCCCTCTATTTCCTTTTGTAGAGAGAGTGACGTAGTTGGACTTGTAAAATCCTCTTTAGTATAGGATTCTGTGATTTTAGTAATTTTTAGGTGTCCAGTAAAGTTGGTCCTCGACTGAATGCCATCTCTCTTCTCCATAAGGGCGTCTTACTGCTGCAGGCACTAACAAGAAGCAATGGAGCAATCCAGAAAATTGTCGCTTTTGAAAACGCTTTTGAGAGGCTGCTAGACATTATCACAGAGGAGGGGAACAGTGACGGAGGTAAGAAGAGACCGTGTGACGCCTGCTTTGTACTCGCTCACCTTGGGGTAGTCACTATGCTTTTACAGCAGTCCATAGACATGATTTCAGCCTTTTCCAGGGTGCAGGCCTTGAAAGTCAGTGAGACAAGAGTCCTTAGCAGATTATCTCTTGAAGAGAAGAAATGAAGCTCTGTGAACATTTAAGCTAGGTAGGGAAGAAAGACTAGAGTCTCTCTGCATTGTGAGTACACCATGTGAAAAACACAGATGAGCACATTCACGTCTTCTGCAGTGTTAGAATTTATTGAAATACAACCAACTCCCAAGACGTTGTAGTTTCAGAAGCAGCAACTTGCAGATACTCCCACTTTGCCAACACGGGTTCTTTTATAGACATCCTAATTCCTAAGACTAACTCACAGGTCAGACATTATACGTCACTCAGTAAGTCTGTGTGTGGGTGCCGACTGCATAGAGCTAAGAGCTCCAGCAGAGTTAGGAGGCTTCAGAAACCAGGGAAGCTGCTAGAACATGGAGCCTGTATGACTGTGATGATGAACCAAACTCAGCTTCTCACAAAACTGGAGCAGTTGCAGCGGCTGGTGTTGACTTTAGAGTCGAAATACAGGGTCCGAGTTGAGCTGCAGGAGCAGGGTGGAAGGCTTGGCTCTAGAGGTACAAAGGACAGATGAGTGGACAGCAGTTTCAGACAGCAGGACAAACAAGGGACAACTACAGTAGACTCTGTCAACAGCAGGGACCAGGTAGACTTGAAGGCCCTGGGACAGTTGGGAGTTCTCTGTCTGCTCGTCCTTGAGGCACAGACTGGGTGGTCAGATGACAAACGAGCGGCGTCACCACTGTCCAAGGACACCAAGTGTCCTCTGCTCTATGGGGAGTCAAAGGAGGGACTTACACCCTTCCTTGGTTTGGTGTGCTGACGAGGTCTGTCTTTAACAAATTTTGGTGTGTGGGGCTGGAGAGATGGCTCAGAGGTTAAGAGCACTGGCTGCTTTCCCAGAGGTCCTGAGTTCAATTCCCAGCAACCACATGGTGGCTCACAACCGTCTACAATGAGATCTGGTACCCTCTTCTGGCAGGTAGAGCACTGCATATATAATAAATAAATCTTTTAAAAAAATTGTGTGCGGTACAGTTGGTAGTGGTGGAGGAGGGGCTGCGTCTGTGTGTGAAGGGTAGAGGACAACTTGGTGGAGTAGTTTCTCTTCTTGCAGCTTTAGGTGGCATCAGGGATAAACACAGGCTCCAGGCATGGCAAGCACTTGTACCCACTGAGCCTGACAAATTCTTGGACTTTGTTTTCCTGATATGATCTTAATATGCCCACGTGCCCTACACATCTCAGTTCACCCCAGTAAATGGATGGGGCCCTCCCTTCTCCCAGGAGCACATCTGTGCCTCATGGGTGGAGTTGGAAAGAGAGTGTTAGTTGTTCACCTGTCCTCCTGGGTGCAGAGGGCCCTTCCAGCCTTGAAATTGAGTCAACAGCTGCTTTAAAATGAAGTCTCTCTGGGCAAGGCACAGCACTGTTCTTTACAGTTGGGAGGAACTTAAGGCAGGAACAAGCTTGATCTCAAACATTTGTAAACAATCGATATTTTCCTCATTAGCTCAAGCTGCCCTTCAATTTGTGGTAATTTGCCTTGGCCTCCAGGTGCTGGGATTATAGCTGTGTGTCCTGAAGATAGGTTAGGATGTAAATCTCTAAAAAGGGAGAAAGTAATTTGGTTGAAGACTTGAAGTCTCAGGGAAGCCTTGAAACAGCAAAATTGAACATTCTGGAGCCAGATTTGCTTTCCTTTGAGTTTAGATATTTTAATTGAGCCGGGCACGGTGATGGGTGCAAATAACCATTGCACACAGCAGGGTAAACGAAGCAGCAGACCCTTGGATGCAGTAGGAAAAGCATGATCCTTAAGAGGGAAAAACCGATGAGTGGGACTCTATTAAAACTGAAGAGTTGTGAGCCGGTCGAAGTGGCGCACGCCTTTAGTCCCAGCACTCGGGAGGCAGAGGCCGGCGGGTCTCTGTGAGTTCAAAGTCAGCCTGGGCTACAGTGTGAGTTCCAGGACAACTACACAGAGAAACCCTGTCTCAAAAAAACGATAAAACAAAACACAGAAAGTTGTCTTCTACAAAGGCACTGTTAAGCAAATTCAGTAACAGGGCATGGACTGTATCTGAAAAAGGACTTGAAAACTTAGTAGTGAAAAGAAAAGCAAATTTAAGAGTAGTGTAAAGGTCTGAACAGATTCATTAAAGAAGAGACTAAGGTTTGCAGTAACATACAAAGAATTGCTCGGCATCATGTCATTAGGCAATTGCCGTAGAAATGACGAGATACCACTACATGCCATTGCAGTGGTGAAAATCCCAAATTCTAACTACTAGATGCTGCTGAGGATATGGAAAAATAGAAACTCATTGCTGATAGGAATGCAAAAGGGTACAGCCAGTGTGAGACAGTTTCTTACAAACACAATCTTGCTGTGTGATATAATAGTAATGCTGCTTCATATTTACTCAGATTACATTAAAACTTACATCCACACAAAAAACTTACACTTAAATGTTCATAGAAGCTTTATTCCCATTGCTAAAACTTGGAAGCAGAGCTGGGCAGTGGTGGCACACGCCTTTAATCCCAGCACTCGGGAGGCAGAGGCAGGCCGGTCTCTGTGAGTTCGAGGCCAGCCTGGTCTACAGAGTGAGTTCCAGGAAAGGCTCCAAAGCTGCACAGAGAAACCCTATCTCAAAAACAAAGAAAAAACTTGGAAGCAACCAGGATATCCTTGAGTAGGTGAAGGGATAAATGCTAATGGGTTCATAAAATTGGATCTTACTCAGCAGTAAAAGGAGTTGTCAAGCCACAGAAAGGTGTCAGGGAACCTTAAGTCCATGCTGCTGAGTGATTCCAGTTTAGCAGCTTTCTGGGAGAGAGTGTAGAGGCAGTTGTCTGGGATTTGGATAAGGGAAAGGGGATAAAAGGGTAGTTTTAGTGATGAGACTATTCTATTTGGTACTGTAATGGTAAATTCTCAGATTGTACCTTTGTCAGAACTCGGTTTTGCAGTGTGAAGAGGGAAGTGTGATCGTCAGCAATATGTGCCGGTGTTTGATCATCCCTTGTAACAGGTGCACCACACCAATGCATGACGATAATGAGGGGAAGTGAGGAGCGGAGAGCAGGTGGAAGCTGCTTATTGTCCTGTTTCTCTGTAACTATAAGCCTACTCTAAGCAGCTATTTAGACTTTTTCACATTAACGTATTCAGTGTGTTGTGTGCCAGCACATATGTGGGAATCAGACAGCTTGCAGGAGTTGTGTCTCCTTCTACCATACGGGTCCTGGAGATCGAACTCAGGTCATTGGTTTGTCAGCAAGTACATTTACCCCACCGAACATACATTTGGTAGGATCAAAGGGGTGTGTGTGTGTGTGTGTGTGTGTGTGTGTGTGTGTGTGTGTGTGTGTGTGTACGTACTAGGGGGCCTAGAGCAATGAGCGCCTTGAACACTGTACTGCACAGAGGAAGCAGGAACCCTTGGTTGTTCTAGCACTTGGAGAGGTCAGTGGGAAGGTTTTCATTGAGATAATAACAGAAGCTGTAGTGTAGGTGAAACCGCACAGGACAGTGATATTTGTAAGCAAAGAAGTAGGAGAAGGATGAACCAGTGGAGAACAGGAACCATGGAAAATAGCCTGAGGAGTGGCCAGATTCAGAAACCCAGAGGGGGAGGGATTTTGAAGAAGAGGCAGGGACAAGTGTCACATGGGTAAGGTGTGATGGAGTCAGTTAATCAATGTTTAATAGTGTGCTATTTCGTATGTATCTGAAGTCTTTGCTTCTTGTCTCTGCCAGAAATGCAGTGGTACATAGGACACTGACAAACTCCTATGTTGGTGAATTATAATGTAGTGGAAGGAAGAAGCTTCTAGAAGGCTGTGTATGTCAGTCTAACTGAGTCCGTCTTGCTCATCAGTACTGAGAACTTGGTATTTAAGCTTGTGTGGGAATATGAAAGACGACTTTCTATAGAAGTCCTGTGGCCTGAGAAAGAGCACAGAGACAGAGGCAGGCGGAAGGCAGGGGTCAGAACAGGCTGCCTGCTGTGCCGTACTGACCCTGGAGACGCACACTTGAGAACATGGGGTTGAGTTCTTTCGGATGTCACCAGCCTTAATGCCGCCATTGTACCTTCTTTCCCCAGGTATAGTAGTAGAAGATTGTTTGATTTTGCTTCAAAACTTGTTAAAAAACAACAATTCCAATCAAAACTTCTTTAAAGAAGGCTCATATATTCAGCGTATGAAACCTTGGTTTGAAGTTGGAGATGAAAATTCTGGTTGGTCAGCACAGAAAGTGACCAATCTACACTTAATGCTACAGGTATGTGTCCTTGGCCATCACTGTGGGAGAATTCTGTCAGGGATCCTTTCAGGGAAAAGGAAAATTGCTTCCATTGGCTAAATCCAGGATTCTCAGTTGGTTTTAGGGGAGATGTAAATTTTTTTAAGGATTTAAAAAAATAATATCCTCATTGTATATAGTAATGTGCTATATAAGAGCTTTTCATTAATTTTGTTTAGCAGTGTACTGTGCTTGACTGAGCATGTGATTATGTCTTGGGTGTGGAGGTCAGAGGACAGCCTGAGGGAGGAGGCAGTCTTTTTCTTCCATGTGAGTCCCGGGTAGGGTAATTTTATTTACTCAGGTTTCAGGAGCCTTTCCTGCTGACATCTATAAAGACATTTCCATAGAAGAATATTACATACTGGTCACATGCTTGCCCTGTGCTCCCTCCTCTCTCGCTCTGACCCTCTCCCCGTCAATATTCCCCTCAGTTCTGTAGATAGTGTTTATGTAAAGATCTGAAAACCACAAATGACAAGAAATGTATGACATTTGTCTTTTCTGTGACCGGCCTGTTATTTTTTAAGGTTTATTTTATTTTCATTTATATCTGTGTGTCTGAGTGAATTATGCCACTTATGTATGGGTACCCATGAAGGCCAGAATAGTGTTGGAGACCTGGAACTGGAGTTACTGGAATTGTGAGTCACCACAGATTCAGGGTCTGAGAACCGAACCTGTGTCCTCTGCAAGAGCAGGGAGAGCTCTTAACCACTGAACTGTCTCTTGGTTCCCGTAACCTCATACTTCTGGTTGAAACACATCAGTTTGTCTATACCCCAAGTCGTTACTCATTCCCCTGTTGTTGGACACTCAGGTTGGTTCCCTGACGTGGCGTGGTGGATGGTGCTGCTGCAGTGGACAGTGATGTGCAAATGTCTCGGCCATAGGTCCACTCGGAGTCCGTGGGTCAGGGAGCCGTGTAGCTGTGTTAGGACTTAGAGAACCATGTAAAGAATGTTTTGAGGGGCTGGAGAGATGGCTCAGAGGTTGAAAACATTCACTGCTCTTCCAGAGGACCCAGACTTGGTTCCAGCATTTGTGTTAGGAAGCAGACATTTGCTCGTAACTCCAGACTCAAGGGATCTGATGCCCTCTTCTGGCCTTTTCACACACATGGCCTATTCGTCTTAGAGCCCCGCCTCTCCACACAATAAAATTTAAAATAGGGTGTGGGGATTTAGCTTAGAGGTAGAGCACTTACTTGCCTAGCAAACGCAAGGCTCTGGGTTGGGTTCTCAGCACCAATAAAAAAATTAAAAAAAAATGAATAAAGTTAGCTCTCTCAATGAAGAACATTTCATTTTAGCATCCTCTCCATCTGACCTTCAGTCCTCTTCCTCCCAATTTACATAACACCAAAAAAGAAAATTTAAGAGTTATTTATTGATTTACTTACTTATTTACTTCCTTACTTACTTTTTCAAGACAAGGTTTCTCTGTGTAGCAGCTCTGGCTATCCTGGAATTCACTTTGTAGAGCAGGCTGGCCTTGAAGTCACTGAGATCCACCTGCCTTTGCCTCCTCAGTGCTGGGATCAAAGGCATGCACCACTATGCCCCACCTTAGAATTAATTTGAAGAAAGGTCAATTTAAAAATTAAATTACTAGCCAGGTGTGGTGGCACTCGCCTTTAATCCCGCCACTGGGAAGGCAGAGGCAGGTGGATCTCTGTGAGGTCAAGGCCAGCTTGCTCTACGGAGTGAGTTCCAGGACAGCCTGGGCTACACAGAGAAACCCTGTCTTGAAAAACAAAACAAAACAAAAAGTGGATAAACTTGCCTTGCATCCCTCACTGAAATGTCCCTTTCACGTGCTAGTGAAGACCATGGACTCCAAGGCAAAGGAACTGAGATTCATTCATCATGATACTGTCTCCACCTCAGAGATGGAGTAGTTGAGTCCATGCCTTTGCAGCCACAGTTGGCCTTTTTAGAGCACCTGCGGCCTCTCTCTCTCTCTCTCCAGTTTCATGTAGGTTTGCTTATCAGAACGTGCATCCTTGTTTTCCTGTCAGAATAGCTGTGCCCTGACGACACTGTTTCATTACGTCATTGTTTTCCTGTCAGAATAGCTGTGCCCTGATGAAACTGTTTCATTACGTCATTGAAACTGTTTCATTACGTCATTGTTGCAGTTGTAATCCCTCTTCCTAAGCCTTTGGAAGCTGAAACTAATAAACTTGGTGGGAGGAGGTGAGCTTTTCCTCTGAGGAGCTGGCCCGCCCACTCTCTCTGTTAGGGTCTCACTCTGTGGCCCTGGCCTGACTGAGATTTCAGGTGTACCACCACAGCTAGCAAAACATCACTTTCAAACCTGTTGTTTTGGTTTGGTTTGGTTTTATTGTCTCTCTGCCCCTCCCCAAAAAGTCCTCTTTCTCAGGGAGACAGGATGTGTGGAAGTCCTGTCTGTAGTGATGTTACTGTTCTAGTCGGTTACTCCGGCATATCTACTGTAAAGTCATGGGTGACATTCTGTCTGGCACTCTTGTTAACCGAGCTTTGTCATAAATACTGTTAGGCGTATACAGTTTTTGCATATAAAATATCCATGACTAGCTTGTGAAAATGTAAGCCTTTGTTTGGTTATTTTGAAGATGTAGTTGGGCCTAAATAGTGGTTTGTTTCTAAAACTTGGTGTTTAGGTTCAGAGTAATAATGGAATTGGAGAGATTTAATTAATTAATTAATTAATGAGACCAGCCCCACCTAGTGCATGAGTCTTCTGTCAGGCCTCTAAGCCTCTTTCTCCAGTGTTGGGGAATTCATTGTAACTCAGGCCGCTCTGTTTTCAGACCCACTCTGTCATTAGATAGTTCCCACTCTCACTGATAGAAGCCTGCCATCCTGTACCTCAATTCAATTTTGATAGAATATGTCTTATTTTGTAAATACTGCGTTTGTTACTTGAGTGCAGAAATGACTGAGGCAGATGCTGTTCTGTGAGAGTTCAGATCACCTGAGAGGGAGAACATTCAGCGAATAGCAAAGTGTATTGTGTACTAACACTGTTGCCGTAGAAGAAAGGGACCGCGCTTAGCTCTGGTGAGCACCTAAGGGAATGCCCCGTACAGAGATTTTGTTCGCATGGGTCAGCTTTGTCTCAGCCCTTACAGATGATTTTGAGACAGGCTCTCGTCCAAGCAGGCTCGTCTTGACTCCTGGCCCTCCTGCCGCCACCTCCCAGGTGCCGGGCCTGCAGGTGTGCTCCACCGTGCCTGCTGCAGATCTTCAGAAGACACATTTTATCCCTTTCACAGCTTGTCCGGGTACTGGTGTCGCCCACCAACCCTCCTGGGGCCACCAGCAGCTGCCAGAAGGCCATGTTCCAGTGCGGGCTACTGCAGCAGCTTTGCACCATCCTCATGGCTACGGGGATCCCTGCTGACATCCTGACCGAGGTAAGTGGGGGAGGACGGGCCAGTCCGTGGAACTGGGAATCCTGGGAAATCCGATGGTACCTGGAGGACAAATAGTAATAGCGAACTGTTTTTATGGGAGCTTCCTCACTTACTGCATGAGAATGGCATATTCTTTTCTTCAAGTTCATAATGTGCATTTTAAGCTTAGCTGATTGTCGAAGTTAGAGTTTCTATTGCTATGAAGAGACCATAACCATAGCAGCTCTTTTTGTTGTTGTTGTTTTTGGTTTTTGTTTGTTTGTTTGTTTGTTTTTCAAGACAGGGTTTCTTTGTGTAGCCCTGGCTGTCCTGGAACTCACTCTGTAGACCAGGCTGGCCTCGAACTCACAGAGATCTGCCTGCCTCTGCCTCCCAAGTGCTGGGATTAAAGGCATAGCTACCACTGCCTGGCCACATAGAAATTCTTGTAAAGGAAAACATTGAATTGGGGCTGGCTTACAGTTTTAGAGGCTTAGTCTGTTATCATCATGGTGAGACATGGTGGTGTCCCGGCAGACATGGTACGTGCCGGAGAGTTCTACATCTTGACCCTCAGGCAGCAGAAGCAACTGTGTCACTGAGCATGGCTTAAGCAGATATGAGACCTCAGAGCCCGCCTCCACAGTGACACACTTCCTCCAACAAGGTCACACCTCCTAATAGTGCTACTCCCTATAGGCCAGACATTCTAACACATGAGTGAGTCTGTGGGGCCATACCTATTCATACCACCACACTGATCATCTGGAAATGTTTTTCATTAATTTTATTGAACATATTTAAGAGAAATATATAAATGTTTTTTGAAATGATATTATAATTGCATCATTTCCCCTTTTCCTTTCCTCCCTCCAAACATTGTTTCTCTAAAGTGACATCTTTCAGGTGCTCAGTGACTTTTCAGTAAGTAACCCTCAGTGGCCTGGTCAGCTTCATCAGTGTTCTTAAAGTGAACACAGAGATTTAAACCTCTTGCTTTGCATGATTTTGTGGCATTTTCTGGATCAAAAGTGAGTAGCAAACCATCCTCAGGTCATTTCAGACCACTTATAAGAGGAGCTTATAGTTTTAATATTAAGAACAAAAATATTAGCCAGGGGTTGGTGGTGCACGCTTTTAATCCTAGCACTCAGGAGGCAGAGACAGGTAGATCTCTGTGAGTTTGAGGCCAGCCTGGGCTACAGAGCAAGTTGCAGGACAGCCAGGACTACACAGAGAAACTCTGTCTCAAAAACCAAAAAAAAAAAAATTATTTAGTCTCCTTCAACATGCTGTGTAGCCAGAGTTTTCTCAGTCCTGTCCGACCCACAGTTGGACGAATCTCTACCCGCATCCCACAGCCGCTTGGTTCCACATAAACACACAGAGGCTTATATTATTTTCAAACTGTGTGGCCTAATGGCTCAGGCGTCTCGCTAGCTGTCTCTTACATCTTAAATGAACCCATTTCTATAAATCTATGTTTTGCTACGTATTCCGTGGCTTTACCGGTCTGTGGGTATCTTGCTTCTCCTTTGGCAGCAGCTGGCCTCTGTCCCGCCTCTGCCTTTCCTCTTTCTGTCTGTCTGCTCGTATTTCCTCCTGCCTCTAAGCTGCCTTGCCATAGGCCAATACAGCTTTATTTATTAACCAATCAGAGCATCACATATTCACAGCATACAAAAAGACATCCCACAGCAAGGCTGACTCAAAGAATAGTAAAAATTTTTACCTTGATTTATGGCATTTTTGTTTGTTTCTTATCTATAAGAATAAAGAAGTTAGTTCCCAGAAATATAGATACTTTGTTTAAATTATTTTTTTGGTGCTGACAAGATGGCTCAGTAAAGATGCTTACTGCCAAACCTGTTGAGATGAATTGGATCCCAGGGACCCACATGGAGGAAGGAGAGAACCGATTCCCACAAGTTGTCCTATGACCTCCATATATGCATCGTGGCACATGCACACATGCATAACAAATAAATAAATGTCATAAAACTTTAAATTATATTTTGTTGGTTAATATATGCACATTAAAAGTACAAATAATAACAACAGTTTTAGAACAAAACTAGCCATCTTTGGTCTCATTTCTCTCTGCTTTAAGTCAGGTCTTGTCCCTACCCCACCCCCAGTCACACAGCTCTCTTACTTTGCTTCTTCCTGTCATGCCAAGATTATTTTATGGCATGTGTGTTTAAATTAGATTTATGTAGAGATATAACATTTGTGAGGCAAGATATCACTCTTGCCCAGGCTGGCCTTGAACTCCAGATTAGTGCTCCTGCCTCATCTTCCTGAGTGCTAAGGTCACAGGCACCAGCCCCTGCCCTGTGCTGCACCAGCCACTGCCCTGTGCTGAAGCCTGTGCATTTAATGTGTACACTAGCACTGTTCCTGCTAAGCCGAGCAGAGTTCTGCATCTGTTGGAAGAGGGAGTGTTGTGGGTCCAACTCCTCCATGAGCTCTGACTGCATTCTCTTTCATTTTACAGCTCTGTGTAACTGTACACCCTATGTTCTCCTCAGCACATCCTCCCGACTCCAGTCCTGGCAGCTCCATCCTGCTCCATCCTAGCTGTAGTTGACCTGCTCAGCTCTGCTCCTGGGACTCCATTCTGCCATTCTCCTGGGGTTTCCCTTCTCTCTGCTTTGATTTGAATTCCTTCTTTTTCTGGATCCTGTATCTTTTCCCCTTACTTCTGGATTCTTTATCTCATTTTACTAAGTTTCCTAAAAGAAATATTAACAAAATAAGTTTCTTTTGTTGTTCTTTTATGTGTGAAAATATTATTCCCTTTTTCAGTTTTACTATTTGGCTAGGTAACTCGGGTATGAAATAACTGTCACTCAGGACATCATTCCGTTGTTATTGTTAAGACATCTGTGGCCGCCGGGCGGTGGTGGCGCACGCCTTTAATCCCAGCACTCGGGAGGCAGAGCCAGGCGGATCTCTATGAGTTCGAGGCCAGCCTGGGCTACCAAGTGAGTTCCAGGAAAGGCGCAAAGCTACACAGAGAAACCCTGTCTCGAAAAAAAAAAAAAAAGACATCTGTGGCCACTTTGAATTCTAATTCTTTTTTTATAATGAAACTTGCTTTTTCAGTTTTGGATCTTCTCTTTACTTCTAATTTTCTGAAAACTATTGATGCTAACTATGGATCTCATCCCCATCCTAGCAGTGAAGACCATTTCAGCTGTGGGTACACTCTCTTCAACTAGGAGGATGGCTGCTCTTCCTTGATAGAATCTTTTCTGTTCTCCTTCTGGAACTCTGTTGACAAATTTGTACATCTCTGAACCTATGAATATCTTTAAAAGTAATTTTTAGTTGATAATAATGACGTCTTTATCATGTACAACATTCTCCTTTGAAATGTAGTTTCTCTATTATCTTTTCTTGAAAGTTGTTTTCAACCTAATCCTTAAATTGAATGGTCATTATGTTGTATTTTAAATGTGTCCATTGATTTTATCCTAAAGCATTCTTCTGATTTGTGTGTTGGGGTGGGGGAGTTAAGTCTCACCTCTTACAGTACATTATTCTTTTAGTTTCCATGAGATTTCTAACTGCATGTAGTCAAATCTCTTGTTTGGTTTTGGTTATGAGACTGGGTCTCATAGAGCCCAGGTGGCCTCAGACATGCTATGAAAATGAGGCTGGCCTTAAATGTGTTCTTCCTGCTTCTCGCTCCTCAGTGCTGAGATTACAGGTGTGTGCCACCATGTCCAGTGATTGTTGGTTTTAATGTGAGGCCTGGCTAAAGCATCCTGAAAGGATCTCCAGAGAGTATTTCAATATGATAATGTTCTAACTGATCTTTTCATGTCTAAATTTGGATATTTGAAAACAAAAAACAAGATGGAACATTATCTTAGAAAACAGATTTCCCTCTTAGCTTACTTTCCATAGTGTTCTTTCGTTTTTCTTTCTTGACAGACCATAAATACTGTATCTGAAGTTATTCGAGGCTGCCAAGTCAACCAAGACTACTTTGCTTCTGTGAATGCACCTTCAAATCCCCCAAGGTAAGAATCAGGAAATGCTAGGTTCCTGTGAGGAAGTAAGCACTTAGGTTTGGGTGTTAGTGGATCTCATATACACATCTTATTTTCTTAAAGATCAGTGTGTTTCTTGTGGAATGGTCCAATGGTATAAGGATGTTCGTAATTAAGACTGTGCTTCTGCATAAGGATATTGGTAATTAACACTGTATGCTTCTGCATAAGGATATTGGTAATTAAGACTGTGTGCTTCTGTATAAGGATATTGGTAATTAACACTGTATGCTTTTGTATAAGGATATTGGTAATTAACACTGTATGCTTCTGTATAAGGATATTGGTAATTAACACTGTGTGCTTATGTATCAGGATATTGGTAATTAAGACAGTATGTTTCTGTATCAGGATATTGGTAATTAACACTATATGCTTCTGTATCAGGATATTGGTAATTAACACTACATGCTTCTGTATAAGGATATTGGTAATTAAGACTGTGTGCTTCTGTATAAGGATATTGGTATACTTACCAATTATACCGTGCTTCTGTATCAGAATATTGGTAATTAACATTGTGTGCTTCTGTATAAGGATATTGGTAATTAACACTGTGCTTCTGTATCAGAATATTCGTAATTAACACTGTATGCTTCTGTATAAGGATATTGGTAATTAACACTGTGCTTCTGTATCAGAATATTGATAATTAACACTGTATACTTCTGTATAAGGGTATTGGTAATTAAGACTGTGTGCTTGTGCATAAGGATATTGGTAATTAAGACTGTGTGCTTCTGTATCAGGATATTGGTAATTAACACCGTGTGCTTCTGGTACTTAATACTTGGCTCAGCTGCCAGCCTTTCAGTTGACACACAAATCATACTACTTTCTTAGCCACAGCTCCCTTCTTTGTGAAATGAAGATGGAGGAAATACTTGTTGCTAGAGTCCTGGTTATGGTATTTTTGGCAACAAAATGACTGGTAATTTGTTTATGTATTTGGGTTGTAATGTTCCATTTCATTCTTTTCTTTGCACTTGGACAGACCAGCAATTGTTGTACTTCTCATGTCCATGGTGAACGAAAGGCAGCCGTTTGTGTTACGCTGCGCTGTTCTCTACTGTTTCCAGTGCTTTCTTTATAAAAACCAGAAAGGACAAGGAGAGATTGTGGCAACACTTCTACCTTCCACTATTGATGGCAAGTAACCCAGTTCTAACTAACATTTAGACAGTCAAGGGTTTTGTCAAGCTTGTCTTCGAATCTTTGCTTACGTTTTAGCTTCAAGCACTGTGTACCTCGGATGAAAGAAAGCCTAGGTTGGGGTGGAGGAGAGCTGAGTCAGACGGCATCTGAGTCGGCATTGCAGACTTTCTACTTGTCTCTTGTTGTTACGGTGTGAGGGGATGATGTCATTAGAAACACTGTACGATCACACATGTGCAGTTACACAGGAGAGCCACGACCCCAAATCCCAGGGTGTAATAACCACCAGAGAATTAGCACTGTGAAGATAAATCCTACCCTTAGTCACACTCAACGAGTCGGTCTGTGGTTCTCTGATAGAGTATGGCCATTACTTATGAATTTTCCAGTGTTCAGTTTACTTGAGATGTGTTTAAATGGCTATTTTCCTAACTTTAAGAGCAATTTGACACAAGTAATTGGAAACTTTAGTGAGTTCATTTTAACTACATAAACATGGGAGGTTGACAAAAATTTAAGTTTGTTTAATTGTATTTTACCAAAATTATTTTCATAAAGGATATTATCGTAGGCCGGGTGGTGGTGGCGCACGCCTTTAATCCCAGCACTCGGGAGGCAGAGCCAGGCGGATCTCTGTGAGTTCGAGGCCAGCCTGGGCTACCAAGTAGTTCCAGGAAAGGCGCAAAGCTACACAGAGAAACCCTGTCTCGAAAAACCAAAAAAAAAAAAAAAAAAAAAAAAAGGATATTATCGTAAAGATATATTTTCTGTAAATGAAAATAAGATGCTGAAATAACGTGCCAATTGTTTTAGAAATGTTGTTTTCCACGAAGATAGTTTTCTCTGTTGTTACCATGAGTCTAATGCCTACAGTGTTCTGATAGGTCTACCCTTTTAGGAGATGCCTTTCTGTCGCCTGTCCCTTTGTGTTTGAAAGTCTTAGCTAGTATGTCATAGTGTTTATACTGCTCTTGTGGAGAAAATGGTTCTTTCAACCCTTGTGAGTTTGGGGTTACTCCACATGGCCAGTGTCTAACATTTCTATCTGTTTGCAGCCACAGGTAACTCAGTCTCAGCTGGCCAGCTGCTCTGTGGAGGTCTGTTTTCTACGGATTCTCTTTCAAACTGGTGTGCCGCTGTGGCCCTCGCCCATGCTCTGCAGGGGAACGCTACCCAGAAGGAGCAGCTGCTCAGGGTTCAGCTGGCCACGAGCATCGGCAACCCTCCGGTGTCCCTGCTACAACAGTGCACCAACATCCTTTCCCAGGTGAGGGCTGGAGCTGCCAAGAGCTGAGTTCAGGTTGTCCTGTCAGTGGCCCAGGGCAGGGAGAGAAGGAGAGAAGGTTCTTAAAGGAATAGTTCTGCCACATAGTTAGTTATAAGGACTTTATTATGACAAAAATACAAGTTCTTGGCACAGGTATATTTTGAGTTTTACTTTCTTCTTAAATTATCTGGGGTCCTTCCCGTCATTTTTCTCTCTTCGGTAAGTGAATTCAGATCAGTTGAAGAGAGAAAGTAAAATAAATGCAAGTCGTAGTTATGTGCCTCCCTCTTTTCTCCTGAAGCAGTTGGTCATCCCCCCCCAAAAAAAACCAGTAACAGTCCATTACATATACAGTATGTACAGTGTATGCTTCCAGTGTCTGAGTCCCCACACGCCCCGCAAGATAAAGACAAATATAACTAAATGTGTGTGTTCCTTCAGCTGTCTATCTCATGACAACAGGTGAAACATGGTGGCCAAGGCGCTTGGGCATGTCTCTTACTACGTGACTTGCCAGCATGCACTTAGCCTTGCTTCTGAGCAGTTAAAGCCATGCTCTAGCATACTTTAAAGCCCGAGTCCTGAAGGAAACTTCAGTTACGGAGCAGCCCGTTGTTCTGTCCACCTGCTCTCTCGTGGAGGGAGGGTGCTGCCCACAGGGCTGGGTGTGGTCTCCTGTGTGACTTCAGCAGGACTGCGCCTGCTCTGTGGGGACCTTTTGTTGTCACTGTCACTGTCGGTCATGCTTGCTAAACACCCGCTACCACCGAGCTGACCCCAGTTCTCAGGCCTTTCGGGAGCGTTTCTACTAAAGAAATAATACCATATTCATAGAAGTTATAGGTGAAATCTTTAAAAATAACTATAATGGGAAGAGAGTTGAATGCCATTTAAAATTGGTTTATTTCCATTGCCAACTTATCACTTGTCTCTTAGTGATTTAAAAAAAAAACCTACAATTTTCAAATCCTTACTTAATGCCTGATGCTCTCTCTCCTGGCACTGTTGAAAACAACTGTTTTCAAGCCAGTTGTGAAAACTCTGCCCACATTGCCGCAGACGCACCTTAGCTTTGTAACTGTAACGATGGTGTAACTCGAAGGCCTAAGGTGGTGGTGTCTAACCCCCGTAAGTAATCACAACGCTATAAAATTAACCTTATGTGCCATCTGTATATAGAAGATTAGAACCTCACTGTCACTAAGTATCGGCTTAGATTTGCAGAGCCTAAGCATATTTGAGGGATTTTTCTGGACTTAGGTTACTTAAAGCAATGTTTGTGAATAATGTTTGGCGTATAATTTGCAGGGTGATAAGATCGACAGACGGGTATGTATACTTGATAAGTTGAGGCCTTTTCTTCTGACAGACGGGCTTCTTCTTGTCTTGGGTTTTGCAGTGGTTTTTAACAGCTTGTTTGAAGTCCGTTCTACTCACACTTCCATGTGTTGGCAAGTTTGTCTGTCACAGGGGCTCTCTTGTTTCCTCCTCTCTCTCTTGGACTGGTTACTAAGAACTGTGGGAACAACTAAACCTGTGTGTCCGGGCTTCCTCCAGGGATGCTTGCCTGTCCTCCGAGTCCTCGGTTTGGGTTCTTTGTGTTCTTTCCCCCAAGCTTGGTTCTTTATTTCCCTTAAAAACAACTTCAAGGAAATCAAGTTTAGGGATAAAAGTCTGTCTTTTAATCAGTGTGTGAAGGAGGAATGTGTGACTTTCTACTACTTACATTATTAAAGTGTTCAGTAGTAAAATTTTTATAACTATGATTTTAAATGAAGTAGTATGGATTATTCTGGGTATAATCTGTATGCTACAACTACCATATTGGTTTTGCTATGTTGGGTGGAGAGTGTTATTTATGTTCAGTTTGGTTTAGTTCTTTTGACAAAGTGTTTAACAAACAACCCAAAGTGTGTCTTCACACCCTTGTCTAGTCAGGGTTTCCGGTGTGCAGTGTGGGTAGCAGAGAAGGAGGTCCGGCTGGTGATGACACTCTGATGTGTGAGGACGACTTAGCATGCAGTTCGAGCGCACTCACACTCACGTGTGACAAATGCTGCCGGCAGTTTCTGTTTCTTTGTTTCCTGTGTGGTTCTGGGGATCAAACTCAGGGCTTTGTATGTGCTAGGCAAGTTCTCTACCAGTGAGCCACAACCTCCAGCCCAGAATTTTTGATATTAGGATGTGTTTTGTAAGTATAAATCTTAATCACTTAAAAAGACAGGCATTATGTTTTCAATTAATTGGGTTTTTTTAACCACTCATAACAAATTGTAGAGTATTTTCATAATTTCATCAATGCTTTTATTCTTTGTTCTTAGAAGCTGTTGCTAAAAATTAATCTGATTATAAGACACTAGAACTGCTTTGTTTTTTTTATTGGTTTTGAGACAGGGTCTCATGTAAGCCAAGCTAGCCTTGAACTCACTATGTGGCTGAGGTTGGTCTTGAACACCTGACCTTCCTGCCTCTACCTCTCCAGTGCTAGGATTATAAGCCGACTTACTATGTCCAACTTCTAGAACCTTATTTTCATGCAAAAACCTTAAAAGTTTTAAGTGCCAGCTTTTTGTTTGTATAAAAATACAGAAATGCTCAACTTGAATGAACATAGTAGGGATAAGAAGGATTTTTATTTAGAAAATGTAGTTGGAAGAGCTTAAGAGCTGATATTAAAGAGTATTTGAGTTAACTTCAAATATTTTATTTGTGCCTGAGCGTGGGGGTACACACCTGTAATCCCAGCACTTTGGAGACAGACTCAGGAGCGTCACTGTATGTGTGAGGCCAGCCTGGTACAAAGAGCGAGTTCAGAGCAGCCAGAGATGCACATCAAGACCCTGTCTCAGACAGACAGACAGACAGAGACAGGGGTTGGTGAGATGCTCAGTGAGTAAAGTGCTTACCACACAAGCATGAGGCCTACGTTTTGATCCCCAGGACCGACATACAAACTAGGTGGGGGGGGGGGTGCACCTGTAACCCCAACGCTGAGGGTTGGAGGCAGGTGGATCGCAGGGACTCTCTAGCCAACCAGTCTAGACAAAAGTTGAGCTGCAGGTCCAGTGAGAGGTTCACTTGACTCAACAGATAATGTGGAGAACATGCTAGAAGATTTGTACTCCTCTGTGCACACATATGCCACATTGGTACGTGTGTGCTCACTCACACTGCTCTCCCTCCTCACCTCTCCTTCTCTCCTTCCTTTCCTTCTCCTCCCCCACCCTCTCCCTTTCTTTCTCTCTCACAAGAAACAAAAAACTTAAACATATGTATGTGTATTTATGGCTTTTCTTTCAGTCTTTCAAATCTGTGGTTTCTAATGTCTGAATCCTCAGAATGCCCTGAATAATATCTTCAGTCTCCTTTTGTTTTCACATCTCCTCCATGGTTCACATTCTGTAGGCTCTGGCAGCAGGTGTGTACTTGTTTTATATTTTCTAATCTCTGCCCATATTATGGAGCTTAAGTGTTGTCTTTTGATATGGCTTACATATATGTGTGTGTGTATCATATTTTTCTTTTTGACAAGTGCTCTTAACCACTGAACCATCTCTCTAGCCTTTGTTTTGAATTTTTAAAATCAATCTTTATGGCTTCTGCTTTTAAGTCGTTCTTAGAAAGGCCATCTTTAAGGGTTCTAGGGTACTTAATTGTAGGTTCCTATCATCATTTCTGTGAGTGTTTCTACTCTTCCCTTTTTCTGGATGAACTGTATGCGATACAGACCCACTGATCTTTTTTAGGTCTTATTTTACTATTATCATCATCATGTGTGTGCATTTGCATGCATGTCTGCGTGCCTACCTTAGCATGCATAGCATGGCATGGGTATGGAAGTCAGAGAACAACTGTTGTTGGTTTTTTTACTCTTACTCTTTATTCTTTGGGGGCCTGCCACCCAGCTCCCAAATAAACCATACAGAGGCACATTCTTACTTATGAATGCCCAGTCTTAGCTTGGCTTGTTTCTAACTTTTCTTAACTTATCACATCTACCTTTTGCCTCTGGGCTTTTATCTTTTTTCTTTCTCTATTCTGTATACCTTTCTTTCCTTCTTACTCCTTCCTTGGCTGGCTGTGTAGCTAAATGGCTGGCCCCTGATGTTCTCCTCTCCTCCTTCTTTTCTTGCTCCTCAATCTTTCTTCCCATATTTCTCTACCTATTTATTCTCTCTGCCTGCCAGCCCCACCACCTATCCTTTCTCCTCTCTAGCTGTTGGTGGGTCAGTTCTTTAGTAGACCATCAGGTGTTTTAGGCAGGCAAAGTAACACAGCTTCATAGAGTTAAACAAATGCAACATAAAAGAATGCAACACATCTTTGCATCCATTAATATTCCACAACAGACAGCTCTTGGGAATTGGACCCTGGGGATTGAATAGGTTGCCAGGCTTGGCATTATGTGTTTCTGCCTGCTAAACCATCTCGCCAGCCCCACTGGGTGTTTTCTAGGCAGCTGTCTAGCTACCCCAGTGTTTTAAAGTCTATCTCAACACACTGATGGTTGTATGGTGCTTTTCCACACACTGAAATTCTCATTTGTACAAGTCCATTTCTGGACTTTGATTCTGTTGATTTCTCTCCATGATCTAGTATCGCCTGATTGCTATTTTTCACAGTATCCTTAATTATTTCCACTAGTTTATTTTTCCATATCATGTTAAAAATCAGATTATTTAGTTCTACGAAAGTAAAATTCTTTGTGAACTTAGGGCATAGCTCAGTATTAGAACCCATGCTTCGGATGGGTAAGGCCCTGAGTTCACTCTCTAGCACAAAAGGAGGGAAGAAATCTGCCTTTTGGTATTTTTGTTTGAGTTATTCTTACATACGCAGAACTTCTCTCTATGCAGTGTAGACGAATCTGTTGTCAACCAGTAGCTACTATAAGGAATTACAATCAAGGAGATCAGCAAAACCGCCATGTACTCAATTGAGAATGCTGTTTTCAGCTGGCCAATTTCTGTGAATAACAGGAAGCTACAGTGTGAACATAAGGAAAAATAACACGTGTAAAAACTAAATTCATGTTGATACCTACTTGGAAGATCATTTAAAGTAGTTTGAAATTAATCAATATTAAATACACCTCAGAAGAGATTATAAATAAATCAAGACCTCAAGGATTATGAGAATAATCTGGGTGGATTTGAAGAGGGGCTAGGAGATAGTTCAGTGGGTGTAAGCCCTTGCCACTAAGCCTGAAGACCTGAGGTCAGTCACTGGGACCCACAGGATGGAAGAAAAGAGCCAACTCCAGCAAACTGTCCTCTGACCTATGCGTGCGCACACGCACTGTGACATATGTATATGTCCCACATACATATGTGTCCCACATACATATAAGTAAGTAAATGTTGTATTTTAAATCTAAAAAGAATTTTTGAAAGCATAGCAGTAGTTAAATTTAAGTTCATTTCTTGCTTCATTTCCTTGAATAATTATAATTTGGATACTTCTGTAAATTCTCCCAAAACGATGCATTATTATGCTAGTTTTGATTATTTTATTTCATATTTTGTTCTTTAAAAAGAAAAATAAGGCTTTAGTAGTATAAATGGGCAGTGGCAGTGTTATAAATAACATTATACGTGGAGATCTAAGTGTATTGTATTAAAATTTTAAAAACCATAATCTTGTTGGACACAGGAGTTTTAATATTATTTCCCTGATCTTGTCAACAGCACACTGGGTATGTTCAGGGCATTCTTGGTGTGGTGAACTGCCTCCCTTGGTTAGGTCTTGGTGCTGGTGAACTGTCTCCCTTGGTTAGGTCTTGGTGTGGTGAACTGTCTCCTTTGGTTAGGTCTTGGTGTGGTGAACTGTCTCCCTTGGTTAGGTCTTGGTGTGGTGAACTGTCTCCCTTGGTTAGGTCTTGGTGTGGTGAACTGTCTCCCCTTAGGTCTGAGGCGTGCTCTGGCCTGTTGTCACAAGGTTTGCAGCGTGGATTTTCATTCTCTTACTTGAGAATAGTATGTTCTCATAGAATTTGACCAAATGTTTAAGAGATTCTTCTTGTACCTTCTTTTCTTTGTTTTTTGAAGAAGGGAGTTTTTTTTTTCCTTTATCAAGAATTTGCTTTTAAAATTCTGACTGAGATCCCTTTGCAGTATATCTGTCTACCTTGCACTTAACACTTCTCAATAAAATCTCTCACTATTTTGCTAATTAAAAAGAAAGATTGAAATATTAATTTGTCTGGAACATTTATTTTTTGTTTTTCTTTATTTCATAATTAAAATTTTTCATCCGATATATTTGATCATGTTTTTCTTTCCCCCAGCTTCTCCCAGATCCTTCCCACCTCTTTGCCCACTCAGCTATATGTGGAACATTTATTTTTGATCATATGTCTTGGGATTAGTCTTTTAAAGCTCCCACATTATAATTTTGTTCTTAGTATAGCATCTTTGGCTACCACTATTTGTTTACTTATACAGGTCTCGTGTGGCTCAGGCTGGCCTTGAACTACCTCACTGCATAGTCCAGGGTGACTTTAAACTTCTGACCCTCCTGTCTCTGTCTCCCAAGTGCTACGATGACAGGCATGCACCACCATGCCTGGTTTTGTTCAGTGCCGAGGATGGAACCAGGGCTTCGTTTGGCATGTTAGGGAAGCACTGTACAGCACAGCTGTATCCCAGCCCAGCCCACACTGCTGTTTAAATCAACACGTGTACTGGTGCATAGAAGTTCATGCTAATTTCCGCACTGTGTTTATTTGGAGAAGTGCAACTTGTGGTGGACACACAAATTTATTCTTTAGTTCAGTGTTTAAATCTGGCTTCCTTACACATCGCACGATGCTTAAGTTCTTTTGACATGAAAGGGAAGGGATCTTAGGCTGTGAGTTTGAAAAAAATAATAAATACAAAGTGGTTTCTGCCAATTTATTTTACAGGGAAGCAAAATACAAACAAGAGTTGGGTTATTAATGTTGCTTTGTACCTGGCTAAGCAACTGTCCCATTGCAGTAACACACTTTCTTCACAATTCAGCCAATGTTCCATTCGTATCCTTTGTGTTTTGGTGTCAAACATGTAAGTAACTTACATCTTTCAACTTTTGTTGAAACATTATATAATAATGCATGCTTAAGCGTTCTGTGTGTGCGTGTGTGTGTGTGTGTGTGTGTGTGTGTGTGTGTATGTATGTATGTATGTATGTGTGTGTATGTGTGTGTGTGTGTGTGTGTGTAGATGTAGTTTTTTATGGTATGCTGAATTAGAATGTATATAAAATTTCTTGTAGAAAATCTTACATAATGCATATGTTAAATTCAGATTAAAAATAAAATGTTCTAGATACTGTAAATCATTAACTCCTTAACAAAGATGTCAGCTTACAGGACAAATTGCAGAAAATCTCGGAGAGGAAGAACAGTTGGTCCAAGGCTTATGTGCCCTTCTTTTGGGCATTTCAATTTACTTCAATGATAATTCACTAGAAAACTACATGAAGTAAGTAAGGGCAAAGCGGCCCTCTGGTCATGCAGCGATAATGACACTTTCTTTCTGCTAAAATAGAAGTAAGCCAAGCTCATGATTTTGCAATTTTTTTTAAGCATCTCATATTTTTATCTATGTAGAGAGAAACTAAAACAACTGATAGAGAAGAGGATTGGCAAAGAGAATTTCATAGAGAAACTAGGATTTATTAGCAAACATGAGCTCTACTCCAGGGCATCACAGAAACCCCAGCCCAACTTCCCGAGTCCAGAGTACATGATTTTTGACCATGAGTTCACAAAGCTGGTGAAAGAACTGGAAGGTAAGATGTGAAGGGTGTCCTGACCCAACACCGTTGTGCTTGTGTGGGTGTGTCTGGATGTGCACGAGTGATGGGCCAGAAGTACATCTGCAGCACATGCAAAGACTTTGGATTCTGTCAGATTAGAAAGACTGTCGTGAGTTAGGCTGTTTTTACTCATTAAATTCGAAAAATTAAGTGTGTTTACAATGCTTAAAATGAAGCTAGGAGGAGCATGCGCTTAGCTCATGTGAGGCCCTGAATTCAGTTTGCAGAAGCACAAGAGAGCCGTTCCGTGCAGAGCTTCAGACAGTTTTCTTTTACAGGTGTTATTACTAAGGCTATTTATAAGTCCAGTGAAGAAGATAAGAAAGAAGAGGAGGTAAAGAAAACATTAGAACAGCATGACAACATTGTGACTCACTACAAGAATATGATTCGTGAGCAAGTAAGTACCAACGCATTGTACTCTGCTGACCGGCAGCAGCTCTCTATGTGAGGGAAGACTGCTTCTTGGCATTTCAAATGGCGGAGGGATGCAGAGAGTAAATTTCATTATTTTAGAAAGCATCTGTTCACTAAATGAAGCGCTTACCACATGCTAGGCACTGTGCAGGATGTTATGGATCAAAACATAGATCAGGCGGATTCTCTTGCCGTTTTCAGATGAGAAACACGTGTCTATTTATGTGACATATATGTTACAACAGGTTAGTGCTAGAGCTAATCAAAGGTGTAGCAGCACTCATGCTGAGCTCTGAAAGAACCTAGGTATAGATAATCTCCAGAAGAGAGCTAGGGCAGAGAGGCAGGAGGTAGAGTACAGCACAGTATGTCTGCTTTTGCTGGCATGGACCTAGAGCGGCTCCTGGCTGTGTGAAGGAGACATTTGAGGGAGAAGGCTAGAGGGAGGGGGTCCAGGAAGGAGGCTGTTGTGGTGGTCAGCTGGGGGGGATGTTAGGGCACTGATGGTGATGTCTGCTGTGTTCTGTGAGCTCAGTATCTTTTAAATACTATTTCATTGTGTCCTCACAGCATCCCTATAAGTAGTGACTAACTGTATTCGGTTTAGGATAAATGAGGAAATCTGTGAATTCTCCCAGCAACTCTTAGTAACTGTTAGAACAGAACTTGAGGGCATGTGCATTAGTGACATTATGTGCTCATACTGTGTGGTGTGGCGGAAGAGACTTGAGAATATGCAAACTGAAGTTAAAACCTAGCGGGACTCGGTCGTGTTTCTCTGCAGGTGTTGAGGTGCAGAAGGGTTAAGTGTGATCCGCAGGTTTCTGTCGTGGGTAGTGGAGTATGGTCCTGTTAGATAGGCAGCTCCATGGGTAGGTGATGACTTAGATCAGAGTCATCAAGTGACATTGTCCTTTCAGAATGCTAGTCAGTGTCTTTATTCACATTGTATTGCACACCTTAAGCCTCTGTTAGGTCCTTTAAAATGTCATCCAGTTTCTTATCATGATATATAGTATAGTATATATAGTATAGTATAGTGATGATAGTATTATCTGGAAAATTAGATTACTGATGTCATTAACATTCCAGAGTAATTAAAAGAAGTGTAACCGCCCATGTGGGGTGGGTTTATCTTCTTAACTATACATTGGGGTTTTTTTTTTCCCTTCCTCACAATGTATATTATTGAGATTGAAAATTTACAAGTGATAATATAATTGTATACTTAATGTTTGCTCTCAGCCTTTAGATGTTCAACCAAATCAATAAGCTAGAATCAGTCTTTGCTCAAAATTTGAGTCATCAAACCACCCCAGTTATAGATTTTTAATCTATGTCTTGGTTCAAATACAGTCATTTTTAATTCATGAATGTAATATTTTGGGAAGAATAAAAAATAAATACTTGGAATGTGGTTTATAGCTTACATTTGGGCTGATACAGTTGATTTAGAAAAAGAAGAGTCTTTTGACATAATTATTGAATTATTTATAAAATTAACATTTTATAAATTCTTACCATTTTAATCCTGTTAGATTTAATAAACATCTAGAACTATAAAAATGTTTATATCCTTTGAAGGACATTTGAAAATTCATCCTAAGGAAATTCTCCAAATTCTGGAAAAACTGTTAAATGAACAAATATACTTATGTGATAACATTTATCATTTTGAAAAGTGGAAATTAACTTAGTGTTAAAAACATTTAATATGATTTATATAATATCTACTTGATTAGGTATATAGTGGGCATTAAAAATTATAGCTATAAGGCTGGAAAGATGACTCATGAGGACCAGAGTTGGGATCTCAGCACGCACATAGCAGACTAGGTGCCCAGTGCTCCAATGCTCCTGTAACCCCAGCTTGGAGCAGAGCAGAGAGAGGAGGATTACTGGGACTGGCTAGCTTTCAGCCTAGCCAAGAAAACACGAGCCCTAGGTTCGGGAAGAGACTGTGTCAAAGGATTAAGTGGAGTATGGTAGAGGACGATGCCTAGTATCCTCTTGTGGCTTCCATGCACACACACAGGCACACATGCACGCGTGTGCACACACAACTCATTTTTAAAATCATGATTGTGAACACTGTATAGTAGTATGGATGGACAGTGAGTTATCTAAATGTTCTACAACTATATATGAACTGACTGTGGCAAGTTTAGAAAACATGAGCTCAAGCCTGCTTGTAGCCTCATTTCTTTTCTTTTTTAAGTTTATTTTTATTTTTAATTGTGTGTATGTGTCTGTGTGTGGTTATATGCACATAAGTGCAGATGTCCATAGAGGTATGAGATCCTTATGACATGCTCAAAGACAGAACCAACTCCTTCAAATTCTCCTCTGACACATCCACACATGTGCTCATACACATATACTCAGACACACATTAACAAGTAAATGTAATAAATTTAAATAATATAGATGCGTGTGTATATCTACACTTGCTAAGTTTAAGTAGTTTGGTATACATTTCTTAAATGGTTCGTGGCCCCAGAATGAGTTTTGGTTTTTTGTTTGTTTGTTTGTTTTGTGTCTTGCGTTTGGTTTTCTTGGACACTAGTGGTGAAATTGCAGGCTGTGCCATGAGCTCACCAGCGGAGCCTCTGCGTGAGGATTGGCTTTGCGCATGTTTTCCAGTCCTAATGCTTAATTATTGATTGACTCTGGAAACGCTGGCTGTTTTAACATACTGACCTTTAAAAAAAAGCCTGCACGTTGTATTTGTGTGCGTCGTGTTCCTTAGTCTGAGGTGAGAGTGTCTGAGATGTATTCGGTCACAGGACCTGCAGCTGGAGGAACTGAAGCAGCAAGTGTCTACACTGAGGTGTCAGAATGAGCAGCTACAGACAGCAGTCACGCAGCAGGCTTCACAGATCCAGCAGCACAAGGACCAGTACAACCTCCTCAAAGTCCAGCTCGGTGAGTGACCCGGGGGAGTGTCCGCATCATTCTGTCCCCAGCTGGACAGACAGACCGACCCTCTGTGGCCTGCTTGTTCTTGAACTGTAATCATTGTGGCAAACTCTCCGGTTAGAACTTAACTCAGAATGGCTTGTACTTCCGAGCAGCTAAGACAAGCCAGGTGGGGTGGCGGCACACTCCTGTAATCCTAGCAGGTAGATCTCTGAGTTCGAGGCCAGCCTGGGCTACACAGAGAGACCCTGTTTCGGAAAAAAAAAAAAAAAAAAAAAAAAAAGTAGCTAAGACCGGCTCTTTCCAGTGTGAAGTCCAGGCTCCATGCTTCCTGCTTGACTGTCTGATCAGGTGGTTGTTGACCCTGGTGACACACTGTGTATAAGCTCCCCAGGTGATTCTAAGCCGTAGGCTATTTGAGATTGGTTGTGAGAGTATTTCAGGTGCTTCAATTCCAGAGTTGAACTAATAACATTCATGTCATCTGAAAATGAAATGAAATACCCTCTCTGTATAAAATTCTAGTTCAGTCCTGGGCAGATAGGTAAGAATTCACATCTCTCCTTTTCAAAGAGTGGTTTTCGTATAATCATTACTGTCTGTGGCTGTGTGTGGGCATTTGGGTGCTGCTGCGGTCTGGGCCTGACTTTGTCAGCCTCGTTTACTTGGCAAGGGGGAGGCACCACTGTGAGCACCCTGCCAGTTCCCTCGGCTGAGGAGACATCACTGGAGTCTTGGGTGATCTCGTTTTCCAGTCTTCTAGTCCCAAAGGTGAAAAGCTTGTTTGATGCTGGCTTTCCCAATATTGTGCCTGTTCAATAGGAAAAGACTATCACCATCAAGGTTCCCACAGTGATGGGGCTCAGGTGAATGGCATTCAGCCAGAAGAAATCAGTCGGCTGAGGGAAGAGATAGAAGAGCTAAAAAGTCACCAGGGGCTCTTACAAAGCCAGCTAGCCGAAAAGGACTCTTTGATAGAAAATTTGGTAAGTAGATGTTAACAAAGAAATGTAAATAAGAGATCAAGAGCAATTCTCTTCGTCTTACTTGTTTGTTTTTCTGGGTTTATATGTTGGTTTTGTTTTGAGACAGGGTCTCACTGTGGAGCTCTGGATGGTCTGGAACTCATTTTGTAGACCAGGCTGGCCTCGAACTTACAGAGGTCCTGAGAACTGGATTGAAAATTATGTACCACCATCCCCAGCCCTGTTTTAGTTTTTTTTGACAGTCTCAGCCATCTCAGATTGATCTTGAATTGCCGATCCTCCTGCCTTCCCCTTCCAAGTGCTGGGATCACAGGTGTGTGTGTGTGTGTGCCTCCAAGCCTGGCTTGATGCTTCTAAACTCACTATGTAGACCAGGCTAGCCTTGAGCTCACAGAGATCTGCCTGCCTCGGCCTCCTGAGTGCTGAGATTAAAAATGAGTGCCACTGCACCAGCTCATTTACTTTTTAAATTTTTTTCTCGTGAGACAGGGTCTCTCTATGTAGCCCTGGTTTTCCTAGAACTTGCTGTCTAGACCAGGCTGGACCAGCTACTTTTGCTGAGATTAAAGGCTTGAACAACCACACTCAGCTCGCTTTATTTTTTTTTCCTTTTTTGTTTTTTCTTAAATGAAGGGGATTATTTCTTTAAAATAAAAGTAGTGATGGTGTGGTTTAGAGACTATGCAGTGTGTGTGTGTGTGTGTGTCTGTGTCTGTGTGTGTCTGTGTGCGTGTGTCCGTGTGTGTACAGGAGGCACGGACACTCCAGCAACAGTGGAGGTCAAAGGCAGTTTCCAGGAGTTGACTCTCTCTACTTTAACTGTGTGGTCTCAGGAATCAAATCATGTGGTCAGTACTTAACTGGGTGGCAAGTACCTTCACATGCTGGGCCACTTCCCTGGCTCCTCACACTTAAAATGAGAGAGCTTTTTCATGTGGAAGTGGCTCAGGAAATCTGGTTTTGTGCTTTTGCCCCTTTCCACTTGAGGTGCATGTTCAGATAGAATGACCCACTTGGTGTGAGTGTCACTTCTGAAGCTGTGGGAAAGTATAGACCGTCAGCGAGCACTGTGCTGAACTAGAACCTTACATACAAAATTAAAATCTCCATGGGAATCCTTTGGTGAGCTTCTGTAAGACTCGACTATATGTGTGTACTTCTGCTTTGGCTCCCCTTTCTCTTCAGATTGCACTAACTCCATAGTTTATTTCTCTGCTAATTGTAGAAATCCTCACAAGTGTCTGCCCTGAATGAACAGGCGTCAGCAGCAGCTTCGCCCAGAGACTCCGAGCAAGTCATAGAGTTAAAGCAGGTAATTTCCTAGCTTGAGCCCAGGCCTGTGTTGTCTTGTTTAGTTCCAGGAGAGTCACACCCCTGCAGTGGATTGTTCTAGAACTCCACTGTCAGGAATAATAAAACCTGGTAATTAAGGCAGCTTTGAAAATCCAGAAGCCATGTCTACCTTGACAGTAATGTTGTTTTGTCTTTTATTGGTTGGTTTTAAATTTTTTACATTTTATTTATTTATTTATTTTGTGCTATGAGTGTGTGTGCACGTGCACACTGCTTTTGTTGCAAAGTGCACATCTGAAAGTCAGGACAGCTTGAGGGAGTTGGGTCTCTCCCTCTACCACGAGGGTCCTAGGATTGGACTCAGGTAATCACCCACTGAGCCGTCTGGTTAGCCCGGCTTCTTGTTTCTAAGTTTCCTTCTTTGTTCACTCTTTTCTGTTCGTCCTTCCTCCTTTCTCTGTTAAAGGAATGTATGCTTATTTGAAAAGAGAAATGAACAGAAATCAAGCTGTGCTACCTAATGTCTCCTCCACTAGTCAGCTAGCCTCACTCACAGACATGGCTGTCTGAAAGGTGTGACCATACTGTTTCCTTATGTCACCAGCATCTGTGTGTCTCAAACTTCTCAGAACTTAGGTACGTGAAGGTTTTGTGTGCGTGCACACAAACACACACACACACACTACATACATTCAGTATTCACAGAGGGCATCCAACCCCCTGGAACTGGAGTTACAGGCAGCTGTGAGCTGCCATGTGGGTGCTGGGAGCCAATCTTAAGTCTCTGCAAGAGCAGCGAGTGCTCTTAACTACTGAGCCATCTCTCCAATTGCTCAGACCCTATATAAAGCTGACCTTGTCTTCAAATCAGGTGTCATTTACAGTCTTTGGGTCTCCAGCATTTGTTCACAATGTATTGCTTGTGTAGGCAATATTAATGTACTATTTTGGTTTTACTGAGTTTGAGGATACTAAAATATTAAAGCAAATTAAGTTATTAATATGTTACCTTACTGTGTAAATCCCAAATAAAAAGTTTTAGTTATGCTTCCCAGTGAAACTTTGATAGAATATTTTATAAAAGAAAATTGCCTTTTGGTTTTGTTACTTTTCCCAATTTCTTTTGTAAGTGCATGTGTATATGGTGGGTCTGGGGTTTAGTTGTTGGTATTTTGAAACAGGGTCTCTCTATGTAGTCCTGGCTGTCCTATCACTAATTATGTAGACCAGGCTGGCCCCAAACTCACAGAGATCCTCCTGCCTCTGGCTCCCAAGTGCTGGCATTAAAGGTGTGCACCACCATGCCCAGCAAATACACAGTTTTTTAGTGATGGATGGCTTTATAGGGTTTTATAGCAACATAGAATTTTCTTTATTATATTACATTTTACAAAATGCTGCATAGGGACAGGGGAGATGCTCAGTAGGTAAAATGTCTTGCTAACAAGCACAAGAACTTGAATTTGAATCCCCAGCACCCACATCAGAGAACGACAGGCATGGTGTCATGTGCCTGCAGGACAGAGGATCCTGGGGGATGGCCAGTCCAGCCTAACAGTGAGCTCCAGGTTCAGAGAGAGACTGTCAAAAACTAAAGTGGAGAACAAAAGGGACACCCAGTGCCAACCTCTGGCCTCCACACAGACCCTCAACGCAACATCATCATCACATACACACATATTTGTACACACACCATATACGCACGAAAATGATCCATACTATCACTGTCTGCATACTATTCTGATAATTGGCACTAGGAAGCAATTACAGAAAAGACATGTGTGTACACTGTAGATCCATGAAGCAGAACAAAAGAAAAGTATTATTCCCATGCCTGTACCTCACCACCAGACACGTCTCCATCACTGCCAGATGTCCTGAGGGGCAGGGAGCATCCCCAGATGGGAGCCACCATTTTAATGGCTCTCCTGTCATTGTCCTGGGGTGGAGGAGGGCAATAGAACATTAGAAAGTTTGACAACATAAACTGTCATTTCTTGCCTAATGCGGACTGTGAGGACCAGCTCCCACAATCTGCTCAGGGTAATAAAAGGAATGCATCAGAGTAGCAAGGGACAGGAAACAAAAAAGTTACCTGAGGGTAATTAGGAATACGTTTTAATCTATGGCTGGTGAAATAAGGAAACACGCAAGCTTTCTGATATTAACTTTCTCTTTTACTTCAGCTTAAAAATGGTCTCTGACTCTCTGTCTCCACACAGCTACATAATCCCCACACAGCTGCATACAGCTACATATCTTCACATACATACATCTTTTCACGTGGTTCCACATCTTTCTTTTACACACATTTCTCTTCTGCATGTCTTTTCTATCCAGCTTTGTCTTCCTTGCCTCCACACGGTTACAAATTCCACACGGCCACAGCTAAACATCTCATTACACAGCTCTCTCACCAGACAGCACTTTACACAGTTCCTAGGCACAGCTCCTCTACACAGCAGCAGCGCTAACACACAGCTCTCTCTCACCCTCATTCACACACATACTTCTACATTACTCACTCACGCTTTACACACTCATTCACCCACTCCCTCCCTCACACTTCTCTCATGCTTCTTCTTCATCTCTCACTCAGCACACACACACACACACACACACACACACACACACACACACACACACACACACACTTCCCTCACCTTCTGCAGCAGCTCTCACATAGCTCTACACAGCCGTCTCTCTACACCGCTGCTGCTGCTGCTGCTGCCTCACAGCCAAGCTCTGGACAATGATAAGTTACATTTTCAGGGCCCTGTCCATTCTCAAAACACAGATAAGTCCTTATGCCTACCTGCCTGTCTGGTTTCCTTTCTTCCCTTATTCTTCCCTTTGTGATTTTTTTTTGGGTGGCAGGGGTAGGAGAGGAGAATGTATAGGGTCTCAAGAGACAACAGAGATAAATAAATGTGTTTCATTTTCCATTTTCCATCTTGAACCTAACATAAAGAGTGGTTCTCTGGAATTAAATTTTAAAACTTGGAAGTTATTTATTTATTTATTTATTTATTTATTTATTTATTTTAGATTATTTATTTATTATGTATACAGTGTTCAGTCTGCATGCCAGAAGAGGGCACCAGATCTCAATGTAGATGGTTGTGAGCCACCATGTGGTTGCTGAGAATTGAACTCAGGACTTCTGGAAGAACAGCCAGTGTTCTTAATCTCTGAGACATCTCTCCAGCCCGGAAGTTCCCATTTTTTCTGAAGATAGGGTCAAGAAAGGGTTTTTTCTTTCCCCTGTAAATGGACATTTCCTTAATGAACCAGTGTTGTTTACATCACAACTCTACTGTTCTTATTTTCAGGAACTGTCAACATTAAAGTCCCAGTTAAACTCACAGTCTCTGGAGATCACCAGACTCCAGGCAGAAAATCATGAGCTGCTACAGAGAGCAGAAGCCTTGGTGAGTTGTCCTGGTCTCTCTTCCAGAGGTGGTAAGATGAAGTTAACCTGTGCTCTCAGCCACAGTCTTTATCACTCATTAGCCAGAGTTCAGCGACAGAGACTTAAGGGAGCCTTTTTCTCTTCTTTTTTTCTTTACTTTTTGTTGTTGTTTTGTTTGTTTTCTTTTTATTACTGTGTGGATTCATTTATTTAGTTACTGAATGGTTATTTTACTGGTGTAACATCCATTTCCATCCCTTTCCATCCCAGCTGATAGCTTCCCTACTATTCTAAATTATCAAAATCCCATTCGCTTCATCAGAGTCAGAATCACCACATAAGAAAGGCCCCCACAAGTACCTCGTCCATGTCCCTGGTGTCTGCTGCATGGTTTGGTTGCATCCACGAGTGTAATCACTTGTTAAGGTGACCTCGACCCCGGTGCTTTCCCACAGCACACTTTCTCATGGTTTGCAATCCGGGTAGTCTGAAAATTCCAAGTCCTCATTTTTACATAATCCTTTGTGACTTTCTCTCTCCTCTTACATTTTACTGTAAACTGCAGAGAGAAATGAGACTGCACAGTAGGATTTGTTTAGGAATATCAGCTAGATAAGTGATTGCTCATGCCAAGTGTAGTGATGATCGCGAGTGAGAACCCAGGTTGGGCAATGCTACAAGACACATTCTAACACAGATGCATTGGCCAATAGACTGACTGATTGATCTTTGTTCTCCTAAAATACTAGGCCACAATTCTGCCAGGTTCTTTGCTGCTCTAGAACAAGGATTATCTTTCCTCTAATTCCCAATAACATGCTTTCTATTTCTCTGATTTCACCAGAAGCACATTTTACACTTCTTCCTACATTCTCTTCATGTATGTGCACAAAACTAAAAATTTTCTCTATAGCTCTTCTCTTTTCATTATGAATCCTTTTCAGAATTCCCTTTAATGTTCATATTTCTATCAATAGTTTCTTTGAAGTAACTTAAGCTTTGTCTGATATGTACTCAATACTCCCTTCATTACACTGTTCTAAAGCCACTTCCACATTTATAGGTATTTATTTAATCAATACCCCTCTGTCTGGTATATTATAGAGAAAAGGTGGGTACTAAAATTTTTTTTGATTCGTAGAACACTTAAAATACTTACATTTCACCAGCTGATGGCATTTGGGTGGGTTTAATGCCTGAGGTGGTAGTTGTGGACTTAGCCACAGGAACTGAGGAGCTGAGGCTCTGGAGCCCTGTGCTGCTGCTGTTCTGGACTGATCATCACACTGCTCGGTCTTGCCTTCCTTGTCCTCTGGCCCATGGTGGGACAGCTCATCCATCACAGCGTTTTGGTGCTTTCACATAAAAACACGAGGATTTTTGTTTTCTGTCATTTGAAATAAAACTTCAAAACAGCAAGAAGATATACACACAGAGTTTGTATCATTTGTAACTTAAAGAGACTTCTCAAATTTGTATTTTCAGGCAAAGTCAGTCCCTGTACAAGGAGAGAGCGAGAATGTGATAGCTGCTAAGACTACTGATGTAGAAGGGAGGCTGTCCGCCTTGCTTCAGGAGACAAAAGAGTTAAAGGTTGGTTTTGGCCAAACTGCTGTTTACTATACATAATATGAGGTAAATTCTGGAAAATTTGACTGTTTCATTTCATCTCTGAGCCTCTTAGGCTTATAAAGAAATGTAGCTGAAGTTTTCGTGTGTCCCACGTGGCCTGTGGTCAGGACAAATCTCTCTCACCTGCCAGTCCTGCAGTCGCTTGGACCCAAGTAAATACACAGAGGCTTATATTAATTAAAACTATATGGCCTAATGGCTCAGGTGTCTTGCTAGCTAGATCTTACATCTTTAATTAACCCATTTCTATAAATATACCTTGCCACATGGCTTGTGGCCTACCAATACCTTTACATCTTGCTTCTCATGGCGGTGGCTGGCAGCATCTCCTGACTCAGCCTTCTACTTCCCAGAATTCTCCTCTCTGCTTATCCTTCCTATTCTATTCTTTCTGCCTGGCTACTGGCCAATCAGCGTTTTATTTATCAATCAATCAGAGCATCACATTCACAGCATACAGAAAGACATCCCCAACAAAGAAAACTGGAAGTTAGGGTTTGGGTGTTTGGGGTTTTTTTTTTGTGTGTGTGTGTGTGTGTTTTTTCCAAGATACAGTTCTCTGTGTAGTCCTGACTCTCCTGGAACTCACTCTGTAGACCAGACTGATCTTGAACTCAAAGATCCACCTGCCTCTGCTTCCTCTGCCTCTGCTGGAATTAAAGGTGTGTGCCACCACTGCCCAGCAAGTTTTCTTATCAACATCAGTATTTAGTCATAACAAAATAAGGGCAACAAATTTGACTAATACAAAAAACTACATATAGCAGGCATGGTGGCGAACACCTTTAATCCCAGCTCTGAGGCAGAGGCGAAGCAGGTGGCCATGAGTTCCAGGCCAGCCAGGGATGCATAGTTGATGTGGGATATCATACAAAACTGTAGACTCACCAAGATAAGATACATAATTATCTTCTCTAATTTTGTCAAATGCAAATGTAAATCTTACTTAGTAACTGTTTTTGTTTTATAATATTGAGGTTAAAACCTTCCTTTTTAATTAGACAAAAAAGAGGAAATGCTGTGGGATAATGCTCTTGTACACTCTAAAGATTTGTCACTCAAATTGGTTTAATAAGATGCTGATTGGCCAGTAGCCAGGCAGGAAGTATAGGTGGGGCCACCAGACTAGGAGAATGCTGGGAAGAGGAAGGGCGGAGTCTCCAGCCAGACACAGAGGAAGCAAGATGAGAATGCCAGACTGAGAAAAGGTACCGAGCCACAAAGCTAAACATAGATAAGAATTATGGGTTAATTTAAGTGTAAGAAGTAGTTAGGAATAAGCCTGAGCTAATGGCCAAGCATTTATAATTAATGTTCTGTGTGGTAACTTGAGGAGCTGCTGCTGGGTATTTGGGAATTGTTGGCAGAACAGAATCTTCCACATGCACACAGTAAGACTATCTCAAAAAACAAAATAACATATAGACTTCCATAGGGCTGAGGAACATTAGACAAACATGTCAGACTATGTAACATGAAGAAAAGAATCAGGTGATATTCATAAATAGATCATGAAGTAGAGTTTGAAAAAGGAAGATGATATATAGTTATACTTTTTGGATTGTGGCTAAGTTATTTATGTTGTGGTTTTATTTGAAACTATCCTTTCCATTTAGTTCTCAGAATGAAATGGGATTTTTTTTTTTCCATTGAGTTTTGAGTTCTAATTCTGATGCCCAGCTGGCTTCTATACAATGTTATCTCTCATGGTTTGCACATGGATGGCTAAGGTTTGGACTTTTCACTCTGTTCATTGTGGCTTTCTTTGCTAGGTAGGCTGGCAGATTCCCACATTCTTGGGTGTGTGTTTTAAGACTTATGTGCCTTCAGTACCCACGCCAAGCACCTCAGATTGAACAGTCGTCATATATTAGTTACCTTCACGTTCCTGTGACCAAAAATCCTGAGATAACTTCAAGGGGCTGAGATTTATCTGGGGCCATGGTTCAGATGTCACAGGTCATAATTGCTGGGAATGCAAAAGCATTTGACAGCTTGGTGGCAGGAATGTAAGGTGGCCAAAATGACAGCTCCAGACAGACCGGAAGTAGATAATCACCTTCAAGACCCACCACTAGTGACCTACCTCTGCCACCATGAGCCAGTAGGGATATTTCACACCTCACCTGTAACATACAGTGATTTGTCATTGATGGAAACTCTTACGAACTTTGGAAATGAGTACTGATTGTAGATCACTGCCTGTCGCCTTTCTTGTAGAACGAAATCAAAGCTCTGTCCGAGGAGAAAACTGCCGTTAAAAAGCAACTGGATTCGTCTAACAGCACCATCGCCATTCTACAAACAGAGAAAGACAAATTAGATGCGGAAGTCACGGATTCTAAGAAAGAACAGGATGATCTCTTGGTACTGTTGGCTGATCAGGATCAGAAAATCCTGTCCCTGAAGAGTAAACTCAAGGACCTCGGTCATCCAGTAAGACTGAAATATTTCCACACGTGTTCTGTATTTGTAGTGTTGCATGGGAAAGTTGGGCACTGGGTTAGCCATAGAAATGTGGGGTCGAGAACATAGCATTTGTAGTTCTCACTGTTCAGTGAATTTGTCTGAGAGAAATCAAATTCTCTTTGCAATACTTGAAGACCTTGAACCTAGAAAATAACTGGTTTCATTGCTGCTGGGTAATAAGACTCATCGAGGGTAGGTTTTGCGGTCATTATTTTTACCACAGTGGGTTCAGATTCATGGATAAAGTGTGACCATTTATCCTTAAAGTTAACTGACTAGTGTTACCCATTCATGTTAAAAATGACAGGGAGCCCTGAGCATTATGAAGTCAAGGAAATCGGATTTACTATGACAGACTATTAATATTAATAATTAATATGTACATGTTTCACATGCATGTATTTATTTGTTATTATTATGTGTGTATATGAGCAAATCTGTGTTTTCCCCTTAGGTTGAAGAAGAAGATGAATCTGGAGATCAAGAAGATGATGATGATGAAATGGATGACGGTGACAAGGACCAGGATATCTAGCTTTAAACCCTAAGAGTGATAGAGATTATGTCATTATTTTGAAGAAGTCTTAAGACAGTGCTTTGGTTTGCCTCCACAAGAAATAAAGATTTAGAACCAGGCAGAAAGTATTCACTAATAAAATGATTGATGTATGTTTTTTAATATTGCCTCCCATGTGGAAAACTCTAAAACTCTAACTTCATGTGGAAGTTTTATTTATGTTCATCTGAACTCTCCCGAAATATAATTTGCAATATAAGAGCATCAGGTTCCAAAATAGGCCATCTGAAGGCTTGTGGTGGTAATGCTGTCGCCTTACTGGTTCGTTAGGCGTACGGTTTGTGGTGGCGATGCTGTCCGCCTTACTGGTCCACTGGTTAGTTGCTTTTCAGAATCTGGGACTTCAGTCCTAACACATTAGATTTAATGTGTATTGAATGGGAATCATTATTTCTAAATCAGCATTTGAGTTCTCAGCTGATTATTTCCTTGTAAAGAAAGGACTCTACTTAAAGACAAGATGGTCTGGGCTCGGGGGTGGGTCGAGTGTGTCCTCACCCCCCACCCCTGGTGTGCCCTCCAGAAGAACAGGATGGGACAGGTAAAGTGAGTGCTTGCCATCTGACAGGGCCACATTCCGCCTTCTGTCCCGGAATGTGGGGGCTGTTCTGAGAAACTGCACCAGTGTTAGCGTGGCTGGTTTTCCTTCCGTTCCAGCCGAAGGTGGAAAACAGAGGTGGCCAGCAGTTCCTACAGCCGGGCTTTAGTGTTGTTTGGTGATCATAAAGTATGTTCTTAGGTTTAAAAGACCCAAACTATAGTTTATATAATTTATTGGCATTTTTGCTGAATAGGTGTAAGTCAGATAATAGATTTTTAAAAAGCAAATGAAGCAATGTGTCAAAGTCTAATGTTTTCATAATAAAAATAGATATTATGTTCACTTAATCCCTGTCATGGTTCCCTTTGTTTAGATTTTAATGAAGTATTTAGTTCCTCATAAGAAGTAAATGAAACGGTAAGGAGACGTCTTAGTCACTGTTCTATTGCTGTGAAGAGCCACCGTAACCAAGGCAGCTCTTACAAAATTTAATTGGGGACCTCATTATAATTTCAGAGGCTTAGTCCATTGTCGTTATGGTGGGGAGCATGGGCAGCACACAAGGCAGTGGAGACGGAGCTACATCCTGATCCAGGCCAAGAGGAAGACCTGCGCCTGATCCTTCTAATCCTGTCAAATAGCACCACTCCCTGGAGACTAAGCGTTCACATGCAGGAGTCTGTGGGGCCGTCCTCATCCCCACCACCACACTTCTCTCTTGGTACTGTTAGGAACAACCTTACCAATGGCCAGGATTCTGAGGGTGGAGCGAATAGGACTCAGATTGTGAATATCTAGGAAATAGAAAAGGAAGAAAAAAGTCAAGAGCAGTTCCTGGAAAGGGCAATATGGTTTACAGAGTTCAAGCTCAGAAGAGCAGAAGGTGATCAAAGGTTATGTTTCCTGTGGACTTGCTGAACTTGAGATCCAAGTGCATACATTCATACATAAGTATGCTCATCAAGAAATTGATGTGGGCCAGGCGGTGGTGGCGCACGCCTTTAATCCCAGCACTCGGGAGGCAGAGCCAGGCGGATCTCTGTGAGTTCAAGGCCAGCCTGGGCTACCAAGTGAGTTCCAGGAAAAGGCGCAAAGCTACACAGAGAAACCCTGTCTCGAAAAACCAAAAAAAAAAAAAAAAAGAAATAGACGTGGAAGTTTGGAGTTCCTGGAACCAGAGAAATAGTAGGTAGGTGGCTTTAAATTCACACACGGAGTTAGCTTTTCCAAAGTGTAGAGAGACAGCAGCCAAGAACTGAGCCAGTGGAACTCAGGGTTCGTGTAGCTAGAGTTTTCCTGCCTGGCCCACAGTCAGGACAAATCTCTATCACCTGCCAGTCCCACAGCTGCTCAGACCCGACCAAGTAAACACAGAGACTTATATTGGTTACAAACTGTATGGCCGTGGCAGGCTTCTTGCTAACTGTTCTTACAGCTTAAATTAATCCATTTCCATTAATCTATACCTTGCCACATGGCGCATGGCTTACCGGCATCTTCACATGCTGTTTCTCATCGTGGCGGCTGGCAGTGTCTCTGACTCAGCCTTCCACCTCCCAGCTTTATTCTCCTTCTTGTCCCGCCTACACTTCCTGCCTAGCCAATGGCCAATCAGTGTTTTATTTATTGACTAATTAGCAACACATTTGCCATACAGAACATCCCACAGCACTTCCCCCCCTTTTTTTTTTCAAAAAGGAAGGTTTTAACCTTAACAAAGTAAAATTACATATAATTTGGGAATTTGGGCGTAGCTTCTCTTACTACTTCCTGCTGGAGGGGGGCGCTGTATCTTATGGGGACACAAAGAAAATTTTAGGATCATGGAGTAGTCCGTGAGGCTGTATCGTCTAAGCCAGTTGCCTTCAAACCATTCTGGATGTTGGATCATCTGGGCCATGGTGTCATCAGAGTACTTTCAGGGGGTCTTGGCTGGTCAAACCTGATGTATCTTAATCTGGAACAAATCCATAGCCTCTTGCTTTCTGTGGAAACAAAAGCAGAGACTCCTTTCCAAAGCAACATGTCCTTATATCCAAATTTTGAAGTCAAGGTATCTTCAAAATACACATATTGGTTTAACTCAACATCTTTTACGATCAAATGTTTTTCTGCAGTTAAAAATCCCAAAGAGAACACAATCCAGATTCTCTGTGTAATATTCATCTTCACGTGGCTTATTTTTTATATTAATTTTACTGTCTCTTTAAAGACTATTTTTTTAAACTATGTATTTGTTTCTATAACTGTATATATCACCTTTTTTGTCTCTTTCAAGCCTACGTATATTTTACTCACATTGTAAACTATTACATCTGAATCTGTCTTATTGTGAATCTATTGCTTTAAATAAACTGCAGCAGCTGTGGCTGCTGGCTCCACCCACCTCAGCTTCCCAACATGGCAGTGGTTTACCGCCAGCTCTGGGAGCTATTGTGGGTCTATGCTTTTATCCAAGCAGCGTGTAGCCCAGAAACCTCTTTTTTTTTGTTTTGTACTAGCAAAGGCTAAATCTACCACGCAGCTTAATGTGCCACTTGCAGAGGCCTCATTCCCGCCATAGGGCATGCGCTAGGAACCCTCAAGTAGCTCAAACCAGCAGCTGCCGCTCATTTGAGAGAGACAGGAACTGTTTTTAGCTCCGTTTTAGAATCTTTTTTTCTCAGTTTTTAGGTGGAAACTCTTGCCACCACGTTGGACGCCATTTGTAGCTAGAGTTTTTCTGCCTGGCCCACAGTCAGGACAAATCTCTCTCACCTGCCAGTCCCACAGCCATCAGACCCAACCAAGTAAACACAGAGACTTATATTGGTTACAAACTGTATGGCCACAGCAGGCTTCTTGCTAACTGTTCTTATTGCTTAAATTAATCCATTTCTATTAATCTATACCTTGCCACATGGCGCATGGCTTACCAGCATCTTCACATGCTGTTTGTCATCGTGGCAGCTGGCAGTGTCTCTCTGACTCAGCCTTCCACTTCCCAGCTTTATTCTCCTCCTTGTCCCGCCTATACTTCCTGCCTAGCCAATGACCAATCAGTGTTTTATTTATTGACCAATCAGCAACACATTTGCCATACAGAATATCCCACAGCAGGTTCGAGGTTAGCTGAGCTTCAGTGTATTAAATGAACAATTGTGTGGTCTTACCCAGAACAAATCTGAGCATTGGAATTGAGGAGGGAACCTGAAAGCTGATCTAAATTGATTGCCTCCTGCCATTTTGGAAAGTGAAAATGTAAGTCTTTCTGAAACATTTAATGACCACTTTATTCTTATTGATGAAGAGTTTCTATTTGGGGGTACTGGGGGGAGAAGCTAGGGGCAGACTATTTTAATAAAATTAAATGTGCTTTTAGTGAAATTTGCTCTGCTAACCAGTTAGAAGCTAAGTGTCCGATAAAGATGCTTAAAATTTCATTGTGTCACTTAAAATATGTGTTTTATAATGCAAATTATTTTAACAAGCTGTCCCCCCTTTTTATGGGTTAGTGCTGGCACTTCTGATGAGAAGTGACCCTTTCTCTTACCAGAAACTTCACATTTCTCTATGGTTCCCAAATGAAAATGCATGTGACAGGTCACCTCTTGTGGATACATTGTCTATCTTAAAAAGTGTTTTCCCTTCTTAGTGAATTAGCCAGTTTTTCTTGACACATACTCTTTTCCCTTTCTGCCTTAAGCACTTGTGAATGGTTTTAGTTTAAAAACTAAAGTCTACAATGGGCTTTGCTATAATTATATGCTGCTTTTGATTTTACTGCTTATACGAATGCAAGCAGGACACCCATGCGGATGTGAACATGGGTTTCGAACACTTGGTTTGCTAGTCTTTTTCCAGCTCTGGGTCTTTATTTCTAGACTTACTAAATGAATGTGTTACTCTGCACACCTAGTGGGATGCCCGGGTGTGGGGAAGCGGGAAGCGTGCCGTCTGGCCCTCTTCTGGCTCTTGCAGGGACACTCTGGCCTGTCGGGCATTTCCTGCGTCTGTTCCCCTGTAAGACAGAAAAGGTGAGAGACAAGGTGGTTGCTGTGGTGAGACAGGACATGGGTCTTCTGTGTCTTTTTAACCCTGATGTTCCTGACCCACAAAAAGGTTGCATAAAACAAGCAGGAAAAAAAAAAAAGCAAACTTTTGCAGCTCCAAGGATAGAGTATTAAAAAGTGGGTGAGGCGCAGGAGAAATGGCTGAGTGGTTAAAAGCACTGGCTGCTCTTCCAGAGGACTCAGGTTCAATTCCCATCACCCACCTGGCAATTCAGAACATCTAACTCCAGTCCCAGGGGATCTGATGCCATCCTCTGGCCTCCATGGGCACTGCACACGTGATACAGACACAAGCAATACAAACTCTTTAACCCCTCAGTACCTCACCTCTTGTCCTCGCTAGCTGTTGTTAGAGTTTTTCTGCCTGGCCCACAGTCAGGGCAAATCTCTCTCACCCGCCAGTCCCAAGCCGCTTAAACCCGATCAAGTAAACACAGAGACTTATATTGGTTACAAACTGTATGGCCGTGGCAGGCTTTTTGTTAACTGTTCTTACAGCTTAAATTAATCCATTTCTATTAATCTATACCTTGCCACGTGGCTTGTGGCTTACCGGTACTTTATATCTTCCTTGTCCTGATGGCGGCTGGCAGTGTCTCCTCCTCCAGCTTCCTGTTCTCTCAATTTTCATCTGTTAGTCCCGCCTATACTTCCTGCCTGGCCACTGCCAATCAGTGATTTATTCATTGACCAATCAGCAACACATTTGACATACAGACCATCCCACAGCACCTCCCCTTTTCTTTTCTTAAAAAGGAAGGTTTTAACCTTTATACATCTCCAAAGTCAGCTTGGTATAGTTGGGAATTTGGGCGTAGTTTCTCTTACTACTTCCTGCTGGAGGGGGGCGCTGTATCTTTTGGGGAAACAAAGAAAAATTTAGGACCATGGAGTAGTCCGTGAGGCTGTATCATCTGAGCCAGTTGCCTTGAAACGGTTCTGGATGTTGGATCATCTGGGCCATGGTGTCATCGGAGACCTTTCAGGTGGTTTTGGCTGGTCAAACCTGATGTGTCTTAATCTGGAACAAATCCATAGCCTCTGGCTTTCTGTGGAAACAAAAGCAGAGTCTCCTTTCCAAAGTAACATATCTTTATATCTAAATTTTGAAGTCAAGGTACCTTTAAAATATACATTTTGGCATAACTCAACAGCTTTTGTAATCAAATGTTTTTTTTTAGTTACGAATATCAAAGAGAACATAATCCAGATTTTTTGTGTGGTAGCCATCTTTTCGTGGCTTATTTTTTTATATTAGCTTGAGCCTATTGCTTTGAACTGTAGCCTTCTAAGCC